GTATATTCACTGATTTATTTCTGCTACAAAATATTATCTTTCTGAATTTTATTTTCAATATTTAATATTTTTTTACATCAAATTAATTATAAATTTAATTTAAAAAATAGTTTTGCTTAAATAAGCCATTTTTTTAAATATTCACATAAAGTACTAACAGATTACCTACCTGGTTTGTTATATCATACACAACAATGGCTGCTTGTGCACCACGATAATACATTGGCGCGAGACTATGATAACGCTCTTGCCCCGCGGTATCCCAAATTTCAAATTTTACAGTTGTGTCATCCAGGCATACAGTTTGTGTTAAAAATGCAGCTGAAAATAAGAATATTTAAAATATAATAAAAATAATCAATAAAGAGAAAGATAAATAATTAAAATAATTATTAAACAATTAATACAAAAATAAATGTAAAGATGATATATACAATATATACAAATCTATTTATCGCATAGACAATACAATCTTTTGCTTGCTATATCAGTATGAGATTAACTTTCAGCCTCTGTGAAACAAGAAAAATACTTCAATAAAGCTATGGCTTTATTGAAAAAAATTCAAAAGAATGATTTTACTTATGCTTTCACTAAATACAAAAGTAGCATCAAATGATTGTGAATGTTCTTACCGCCAATTGTGCTTTCCTGGTATTCGTGAAACTGTCCTTTGACAAACCTTAAAACAAGGCTTGATTTTCCAACTGCTGATTCACCAAGTAAAACTAATTTAAACTGACAGATTTTTCCTTGCGTCGATCCATTTGGCCTTTGAGCTGTACCCCGATTCGCCATGATCACCTAGAAACAAAGTTTAGATTTGTAACTTTAACTGTCTTTGCAATGTCCATTTTTTAATCATGAACAGTACACAATATTCTAATAAAAACATCCTATACATCATTTCTATAATATGATATATTACATAAAGATAAATAGTGCTTTGTAACAGCATACCAATATCTAACATGAAACAAATAATAAAACTTCTTTGTTGATAAACATTCTTATAGGAAATATTTTTTGCTATTTTTTAATAAAGAACAAATATATTTTCAGATATCAAAGAGATTTTATGTAGACAATATCTACATTTTAAGGAGATCTTATAATTTTCAACTGTGGTTGTTCTCTAGAGCCCAATTCAACAGATAAATGTCTATTTATACTGAAACTTCATGTGCCAGATAAGACATCATTTCGTGCACACAGTAATTAGACAGTTCTAATGCTGCTAAATTACAAAATGCTTTGCATATATTAAATGCATTACAATCAGATGTGTAACATGAAACAGATAAGAAAGATTTCAAAAAGAGGAATAACTGAGAATAGTTATTATTAGAAAAAAAAAGAAAAAACATGTAAGGGGCAGATTCACTTTGAAAGAAGATACTTTCACGAAATATGAGCGCACGGATGATAAGATAAGGATATCCAGAAAAATATAGATTGTAGAACGAAAATGGCGTGAAAAATAAAAGAATCTATCGAAATATGATGCATAAAACGTATATACGGCTGCATAGAGATCCAAAAACGAAGCAAACGAATCGCGCTCGTAATTCGCACAGTGATTAATTGAATTCTCGCAATCGGAACTGAAGCCGCGCGACAGAATCTGCGATTACTTATGAACTTGCTCACTGTTTTTCTTGATAAAGCGGTTAACTATTTAAAGCAGGCTCTCTTTAACTCATTAAGAGATCCAGCACTGTTAATTATATTATCCAATTAGTCTCCGTTAACGCAACCAAATCCGTCTTTCCCGCATCACTCTTTTCCCTCAGTACGATATCGCCGATGGGACCGAAACGGCAGTTTCGCAAACGGAGCAGAGGGAAAGAGCGAATACGGGAACAACGCTCGCGGGCAGAGCAATGCACCCGCAACTTGACGGCTTTTACGACAAATCACGAGATTCGTGCGACGCTCGTGAAAAGGGCCGACGAGTTCCGCTTGCTCGCTCGCCCGCGCGCTCTATGTAGCTGTTCGGTTTGCTACGAGCTGCTGTGCGTTTGCGACGATAGAAAAATTCATGGAACAATAATCTACGTCATCGGCAATATTTCGCAGTAACCTTGGTTGGGGCAGAAATTGTCGAAAAATCATGGGAAACCGTTTAAAAACGGTGCATTGATGCAGCGCGAAGTAGCAGAGAGATAGAGAGAGAGAGAGAGAAAGAGCACTTTGTCCGACTGTGTCGCGCGATACGTGCGTGTACATGTCGTGCGTGCATCGCGTGTGTACGTGTGAACACTCGCGCAAGCGCGCGTCGCGTATGTGTGCAAATAAGAGAGAAGGGGGAAGAGAATGAGAGAGAGACGAAGATAGACGATGCGAGATAGCGGAAAAAGATCGTGAGGAAACGAAGGGAGCGCGAGGGAGAGACCTATGGAGAGCAAAGAGAGAAAGAGAGAGAGAGAGAGAGAAGGGGAGAAAAAGAAAGAGAGAACAGAGATGAATAAAGGGAGTGAACGATGCGCCACGATTGTTACAGCCCTGAGTACTTGTCACCGCCCGTGAAACGTCAGCAAGGAAATCCGAAATATCGGACTCCCCTCGGAAATTAGAGCACACTGTTCTTAGTCCAAGGAAACATGTCTCGGTGACAGTGAACGCGTTCTGCGTCCGGATGTGTAAACATCCTCTCCTGCTATCTTCTCCTACTACACACATGTCTCAGCGATCTCTCGTTTCTCCGGGATAATTTAACAATTTGTTTCTTATATCCCGCCCCGTTTGCTCGCGCACACACGCACGCACGCTCCCGGTCAAGAGACGGATGACGGACACCTGCCAAGTTGGAAATCATGGATATTAGAGAATGCTTAACCTGCTTGCGTCAGGAAGTTCGCCGTTAAATAGGAACGCCGTACGCTGGCTGGTTGGCTGACTGTTGACTCGTAAGACGATGACGATGATGATGATGATGATGAGGACGACGACGACGACGACGACGACGACGACGATGACGACGACGACGACGACGACGACAGGCGCGCAACACCGTCGCGCGACGATGATTAACGTCGATTCACTGTCGCGCGTCAGGCACGATCACTTACTGCCTCCGGTGGATCGGCCTGCTGCTGGCCGAGCATAGATCGCGTAATCTACGTAGAACGTGTACATTTATGACAGCTGCGCTGTCGAGGTTACACGGGAACGACACGCGGCAGCAATTTCGGGCCGCTCCTCTTGAAACTACGCTTCACCACGATCCGGGAAATTGATGTTCTCACACTTCGTCCTCTTGTTCTCGCTCTCGCTCGCACGTAACGGAGATGCACGTTCGAGAAGTGTATCTGTCGCCCTTTCGCCACACTTCCACCCGACGCAGCAGCCCGATCGTTCGTCGCTTTCCTCTCGTAACTTATATCAACGATACCAACGGATACCGACGACGACGACGACGACGACAACGACGACGACGAACAGCAGTCGGAACTTTGACACACCGTCGGAGAGAGAGAGACAGAGAAAAAGAGGTAGAGAGAGGGAGGGAGAGAGAGAGAAAGGGAAAGAGATTACCGACACGCGCGGTGCATACGGTGCTGCGTCACTTTTCGTTGTTCGTTCTGCTTCGTTTCCGAAGGTCGTAACGATGCGGCGCGAATGCTCGATTAACGTCGTGAATCACGCGAAGCTCGAACGACGATATTGGGAACGCGAATCTCGGCGGATGCTACTGCGAGAGACTCTTCGTCCCGACTCCGTCTTTCTTCTCCGCGATCCACGAGTGTATACGTACCGACTACTACGGACAAATAGGTAGTAATTTAGACACGATGACTTGTTACGCGGCGTACTTACGACGCGACGCGGCTGCAGCGCTATCTGTCGCGTCACAATTGATTCGGCCAATAGAAACTGACGTAGATAAACGAAAACATGAAGGATAAGTTCTCAAGGATTTGCGGAAGTTACTGTCACAATCACCAGAGGTCTCCTCTATGGATTCAGATTCTTCATCCGGGTGCACTCTATTACTAGAAACACTACAGTATATGCACTGAAATATATACTACCTGGAACGCGCGCTACCTCTTGAGTATTGCGAGATGAGAGAGAGTATGCTTGTAGGTCTCGAACGGGTGGGACCCGATTGACCACGATACGATTGGACATAGATTGTAATGATTGGTTCGACCTAGTAATTCACTAGATAATTCTTTTCATCGGTTGGTTGTGTTCAATCGTACCGTGGTCAATCGAGACGCTCGAGACGTCTCGAACAGCGCTCTGTCTTTGTCTAACACAGTCTGAACCAATAGCTAAGTCGGCTGATTTCTAAACATAAGCTGAATCTCTGAATTAGGAACCACCTTTGCTTTGTTTTTCTTAATAAGTCGATAAGTGAATATTAATAAATGAGAAAAAATATATCTATATATATTTTTTATATCCTAATGGCTCCTGCACACAGGACGCGGTAATGCTTGCCGCGCGGCGGAAGTTCGCGCGACAGCCAATCAATATGTTGCTTTCCGTAATAACCTTCTAGCTCTTACGGAAAAACAACATATTGATTGGCTGTCGCGCGGATTTCCGCCGCGCGGCAAGCATTACCGCGTCCTGTGTGTGCAGAAGCCATAAGTCATTGCCATTCAATCACTGCTTTTCATATTAGTTCTAATTTTTAACTTGGACTGTATCACATTCTTCCCACTCTCGATTATACTATAAACCAGACAAAGATAAGAGAGGAAACAAGGAACTTCTCTCTCATCCCGCACGCCTCAAGAAGCAGCGCGTGTTCCAGGGCCCTTATTCTTGAAATACCTAGTTGCGTATACGTAAGTTTTAAGGGACGTTTACATTGGAAGTAAACAGGAAGTAAGAATAAGAAATTGACCAATCATAGTTAATTATTCTTCTCACATTCAACTATGGTTGGTCAATTTCTTACTCTTACTTCCTACTTACTTCCAATGTAGACGTCCCTTGATTAGTCAATTTGCTTACTGCTTACGTTTTACTGTTTAAGTTTTTCTGTATGCCACCAGCTTAAGACAGTACTTAAGATGATCTTAGGCTGTGTTCCATGTTATGCATATGCGCGCATTTATCTATAGTTTATGTATACGTATACTGTAGGAAATACGCGCTTCATGCGCAACTCGGAACGCACCTTTAAATATAAGATCGGACTATGAATACCGGCCTTAGTTAGTTAGTAAGTTAGTTTTATCTAGCGACACCGCCAGATGGAGCAAATGATTGATACGCTATTGAAAGGCATACTGCGAAATGGCAATTTATCGACGTAAGGAAATCGCGAGTGCAGCAACTAGTGGACAATAAATGCAGATGGCGCGTCGAACACAAGCGCACATGCGCTATACACTCAGGCCAATTTCGTCAACGTCGATTGGGTCTTGATCTGAGTTTGTTTCAAATAGTTTAAACGCGGTTTAAGGCTTGATCGACGTTGGTAAAATCGGATTTTAATAACCTAACGCGACTTTAGTTGCGTTGTATTTGTTCCTTTCTCTGAGACATTTTATAACGCGTGATGGAGAAATATCAGCAAATGAAAGCATTTATATCGGTGGCAGTGGATTACAACAAACATCCTAATGAAAATGCTACATCCGATATACAAAGAACTCTTGGGGTAAACATAAAGATATATGGTACTCATGTGGCTTTGTATTGTAGTCACAACATGATCACGAGTGAAGTGTAGCATTTTCATACAATAAATTTGTGTTTCTTAGGTAATAAGTGCATCATTGGATCTCAGTATTTTTGATCCTGGTACCAGTATAGCTGCAGAATTCTATGTGAGCTTGTATGAGCTTATGAATTCTTTGGGATCACGGTCTACTTTGATTTGGAGTGCCATAGATGTCCTACAAAATGCTTGTCGGAATGTTCCTGCTAGACAAGCCCTTATTCATACATACAAATTTGCACCAATATTGGCAAGGTTATTAGAGGTAAAAATACTGAATTTTTCATAATCTACAACAACAAAAATAAATCTTTAGGAAAGATACACTTACTAAAGATAATTTACTCTAAAAAATAAAAACTTTCTAAATAATATTATTTTTAGTTTTTGTTTTATAATCAAACAAAAAGTTACATAAGAGTATTTATTTCTTTTTACATACAGGCAAATTTGACAACTGAAAAGAGAATAAGGGTTTTGAAACTACTTCAGGAATTAACATATGGAATTAAGATATCATGGCAAGAAGCTCATCTTCCATATTTAATTTCTACATTAACCCAGTGGATCGAACAATCAAAAGAAGAAAAGATTATTGCACTTTCCCTAGGAGTACTAGTAAATCTGTGTTATAAAAATCTTCCAGCAGTATACACATTGATGAGAACCATCAAAACTAAAGAGTTTATTCGAACATTACTGAAGCTCCAAGATCATGTCAGTACTAGTGTGCAATGTTGCAAACTCTTGATTATACTTGAGCCAACTAATACAAACATTTCTGAGAAATATATCCTGGACTTTGTATCGTTGACTTTTGTCAATCTCAGGACAGCCATGAAAGAAAAAGATATCTTGTTGTTAAGACATATTATTGACTTCTTCAATGATGTTGGGCAAAACGAACATTCACGAAATGTGCTAGTTACATATTCGAAGTAAGTTAATTATATCAAAGATTTTTGCATGACATATAGTAACACATAAAGGCACTATATTTTTGGTATTTTCTAGTTACCAGAAAGATGTAGAGAATATATTAGCTATATTGGAAGAAGATACAGACCCAGAATGTGTCGCTCTTATGATGGAGTTCTTGTTATCATTAGTGAAACTGAAGTTATCAGCCTTAACACCTTTATATCCTATTTGTATAAAATCAGCTATGACATGGGTACCTGTGGAACAAGTATGTAATTTCGATAATTATTAAATCTTGTATCAATATAATATAATTCGATATCTAGCGTTAGGAATTTATATAGGAAGAAAGAATTAATTAATTATTTAATTGGAGCTTTTCTGCTGACCGTAGGTGTGTTCTAAAGCTTTAGCACTCATACGAACCGTGATAATTGATTCACGACGCACCAAAACTTCCACTGACGTTCTAGTGGAACTAGATCCATCTGTTCTTATGCTCATAACAAGTTCAGGAGATGGAAGTAGGAATGCGGAGACGGAAGCTAAACAAGCTGAATTAATGCAATTGTTTCAAGAAATGATTAAAAATCCTACACTCAGAAAGAAGATTATGCAGTCGTTCAGCGAGCACGAGATGCGTAGATTATTTAGTCACATGCTAAATAATGATTTTTCTGCCGCTGGAGATTGGACTGGAAACTTCATTCAGGTATTTGATTGGGATATGTAGCATAAGTTACAATCATACTAAAAACATGTTTTCAACTTTGCAGAACGCTTCCACCAACCTTTACATTCATGCATTAGTCTTAACGGCAGATTTGGCAGCGAATCATTCTAATTGGTTGACATTGTATTCCGAATTGCTCAGTAGCAAACAAGTACAAATGATAATGGCGTTAGCATTATTCACCGGTGACAGCGAAGTGAAGCAGAAAGTTTTGCAGTTAACGTCGTCGGTTGGGTTTCCACAGGAATGGTAAGTGTGGCAATATAGCAAAGTGTTCGCTCTATATGATAAAATAATTATATGACATAGTATTTCTGTTTGACAGTGTTAGCGCAGTGGCACTTTGCATGAAGGAATTAGAACCATTGATACTAGTGCAGAGTACCAATAGCGATGTATTGAGAAATATTATGAATAAGGCACCTCTGAATTATACCGGCAACGAAATGGCACCTTTATTCTCAATCGCGCAAGAGGAACGTCTTGATGCATGTTTAACCAAACTACAATTGGCTTTCGAGTTGAATCAGATTACAAATATTCCGACATCCGCGATAATGGAGTTGTACGAGTATAAGGTACAATTTTTTCATATTTCTTCTGTTCTTCATCGTATGTACATTTGTACATCATAAGTAACTTTATTGAAGTTAGCAACAATGAGACATTCCGAAAGGGCGATGCAATCGAGCTTAGAAGCGGCCAATAGCCACTCTACCAGTCTCCAGCACAGAGTGGCACAAGTGGTAGCTGAATCTTGTAGATTACATCAACTATTGTTCGACACCCAACAATGTTTGGAAGGAACAAAAGCTGAAAGAACTATATTAACAGGGAAGCTCAATGAAATGGAAGATCAGTCTAAAAAGGCGCTTTTGATAAAGAAAAAAGTTAGTATATTCTCACTGTATGAATCATACAGCTGTAACGAATATCTTCTTAATTGTAATTTTGTATTTTGTATAGGAGATCGAGTCCTTGAAAAAAATTGTGGTGGAAAAATCGGCGAACGTGGATCTTCTGAATGAGAGATTAACGCAACGTACGAGTGAATTAGAAGTCAGTAACAATAAAATTGACATGTTAAACAGAAGAGTCCAAGAACTAGATAATGAACGTTTAACCGCTGAGACGAGAGCTACGGATATGAACAACATGAATCGTGAATTAAATAAAGTTGTGCAGAAGATGAAGGATTCTCTCAGTAAAAAAGAACAGGTACGAAGATATTTTACGCATTGGAAATAAAGAATATATAAATTTCAATGTTCTGTGTTTTTTGCAGATTTTAGAGAAGAAAAAAGCAGAAATTGAAACGAATCAGAGGGATATATCCGCGCTTAAGCAAGAGCTTCAACAGATGACGCACATGTTGCATACATATGAGCAAACAATATCGGAGAAAGAAGGAAATATTTCAAAAATGAAAGCGGAATTGACTGACTTGAGCCGTATGCGAGATATGATCTTCGAGCTTACCGCTAAGAAGAAAGATGATTTGAATTCAAGCTAACATCTTTTTCACCTTAGGACTTGTACTAATGTACGCGTTAAATGCGTATATAAATTTGTAAATGCAATTTTATCTTTTTTTTACTATTTTCATATACATATTTAGATAAATAAATATATTCAGTAAATATTTTATATTCAGTCATATTTTACAATCGTCAACATATTTTACTCTCGTCAACATATAAAATAAGCAAGCACATCGATCAAGTTTGTATCCTAATAAATTTAATTGTAATAGCATAATGCATATTTGAACTGAGAAATTTATTAAAGGAATAGGAAATGCGAACACTATATGAAAAATTGTATATAAACAATATTGATTATTATTATTGTACACTTTTTGGTCATTGCACATTAAACATGATCATTATATTCAGATAAAACTTTTGTATAATTATCTGCATAAGACTATTCTTACATTTTTTCTCGTAAATTAGAACGTAAGTACATGTACGCAAAAGTTCTCATGTTCTTAAAATACTATAAAATAGATTAAAAATGTATAATACGCATGCAATGTATCATTACGATTAGCAATAGTGATTTTGTCAATGGCTAAAGTTATATTGTAGTGCATCAATACTATGCTTTCATTATACTAAGTACGATTGTTTATGATCTCTGCTTGATTTATTTCATAAATACATAGAATAACATTTCTACAAATAATTATATATATATATATATATATATTTTTGTTCAACGACAAAATCGTTTATTCGAATTCACATATTTTACTATCAGAAATATATACGTTAATGATATATCAACATTCTGGTTAGGGTAAGCTTCGCGTACATATAGAAGCTATCTATCTTACTTGTCCTTTGGCATTATAAATAAGTAATACCATCATTTCAAAGCGATAAATTTATATGCCAAAACAAATTACTGTAGCTTTTTTAAATTATAAATAAGAAAATATATTAATATATGTGTGGATAAATTATTAATAACATCTCAACATTATTAACAGATCTAGACTGCTTTCTTTTTAAAACTTCTGTCATCAATACAGAATTGTTATGTATAAAAATTAAAAAAAATTATGCATATTGCAGATTTTAAGTATTAAAGTTTTTGTCTGTTATACTGTTGCGAGACATGCTTAAAATTAAATTCGTGAAATACTGTTGTTTTGTATGTGTCATATTTCATCAATATCACAGTTTGTTCAATCAGCGTCATGTATGATAAAACCGAGAATTACACGATTTTCAGATTATATGTATACGCATAAGGTCAAAAATCGCATAATTAACTTTCAGTCTTAGGTACCCAGACAGCACAAATCTCCTCGGAATGTCCTGAGGATATCCCGAAGACGTCCTGATGTCCTAAGGACATTCACAGAACGTCGATGGGATATCGTGTGCTGTTTGGGTAGTTTGTCAATAAAAGTAAACTATAACACAAATTGTAACGTCGGAAATAAATCCATAAAGAACGCGGCACTAATATGGAAACCAGATTAACCACACCATTTAACTACATCGCGGAGGTCTAAAATACCAGTAATTCTAATTATAATCACGGACTTATAATTCCTCTAGTAATGATGATTTTTTCGACTTTATTTTGGTTGAAAATCGATGTGGCATACATGAAGCTGACCGTCCATCCATCCAATTTCTAAGAACGTAGACGTTTCTTCTTTATTTATATTTAGTCGTCGCATAATAATCGACGTAGTTGAATTAATAAAACGATAAAACAACTGGGAGGAAAAAATGGGCTGACGATTTCCAACTGTTTGACGCACAGATCACTTTCGGGTAATCGTGTATCTACTTCGTATAGTGTGTCAGCCGATAATGTCGAAATTCGATCAATTTCATTGTCATTGTATTGTATCTCGCTTAATAATGAATACTAGACAAAAACTTCAACTAGAGAAGTCGGAATGTTAAATTATTTTAATATATAATTTCGGTGATACCTGTACACTGAATCACACGAAGTAAGCCTACCTTCAAAGCTGAATTAAAACGTACTGTGTGCAACATGATTGAAGAGTATGTTATTTTCCACGTTCAATATTGCGTGTCTAATGTGGCATTGTCATCAACTGCTACCTTTGCTCCATGGTTGTTCGGTGGCCGAAGCGAACATCAGGTAAAAGCAATTAGTAGCCATGTTTATTCCCGCTGCCATCCAGAAAACTGTATGCCAGCGCGCGAGAGTCTCCTGTAATATTACAAATATATTATTAGAAAGTTGCATACATTCACATACATATCTCTTTTAGAAAACGTTCGAAACGAGCAATCTTTTTTCTCCGTAACTAAAATAAATGTGAAAATACACTAACGTGTCCTTCTACTATACTCCCGATCACGTATGGTGCCAGGAAACCACACGCGTTTGCTGCAGCGTTCGTCAATCCGTACAGAGTGCCAGCGTAACGCGGTGCCAAGGCAATGTGATTCATCTGATTTCCGGCGTATACCGCGCCCTGAAGAGAACCTAACCCAGCGAGCATCAGCATTACTGTCATTCGATCACATCCTGCCCAAATAGCACCGACGAAACTAAGACTGGGCCCCAATGAGGCCACCGTATTCCACAGTTTAAACGAAGCCAACGGTGATATCATATGACGAGCGAGGAGAGCGTCCGCAAAACTTGAGATACCGAGACCCACCAACCAAGCGCTCAGATAAGGCAGTGCCGATAGAAAGGCGTTTTGTTGCACATTCAAGTGCAAGATCTTGTCCATGTACGTCGGTAGCTCGGTCAAAAGTGTGTAAAACGCCCAAGATTGCCCGCACTGCGTAATAGTGATGGCCCACATGGGTAAAGACGTAAATACGGACAGCCAAGGTACTCCCGGATCGTCGTCCTATCGTTTAAATTATTCGTTCATTGTCAAACTATTAACAAGATCCCTTATACGAGTGTTACATATAAAGAGTGATATCGACCTCGTCTTTCTTCTCAACGCTAGCTTCGATGTAGGCTTTTTCTGAAGGATCAATCCTCACATGTTGTGCCGGGGTATCATATATGAATATCAACCAGAATGCATACCATAGAATACCGAGTCCACCGAACAAGTAAAATGCAAGGCGCCAACCGCCCCATAATTCTAAAGAACACAACCAGCCGCTCACCGGTAGCGACACGACAGTGCCGAAATTTCCACCTGAAAAGAATATCGTGAATGCAAATATCCAGCTGTGACCAATTTAAGACGGTAAGTACTCGTGAATAGTGTTTATACTCATCAGAGTTAAATAATAACTAGTTAATAAGTTAAAAGTCAAGTTAAAACGTTAAAAAGTTAATTATACAAATCATATATATTGCTTTGCATGATTAACATTTAACTCTAATAACTTAATTTAATATTAACTCTTGAGTTAGTTTTTGCTTATATAATTTTTAACGTAAACTGAGTTAATTTAAAGGTTATTAACTTTGTTAAAAAAAAATTTATTTACCAACCCTGATATTCATTAAAGAAATAAACTAACCAATTACCTGCATAAACTATAGCAGCAAATTTACTTCTCTCTAACGGGGGTACCCAATGCGCTAGCATACTGTGCATTGCAGGGAATGTTACGCCCTATATATATGCACAATGTTAATAAGATATTAGCGATAATAAGATATTAGCGATAATGTATACATTTCAAAAAGAAAGAAACACTTACTTCTGTAAATCCTTCCGCAACTCGCACAGCCAAGAATGGTATCAGACCCCAATTCGCGGCGAGAGGGCTTATCACAGTCAAAACAGCGGTCAGGAATACCCCGAGACCGTAAATTAATTTTCCACCCATTTTTTCGGCCATCCTGCCACCTGGAACGTTCGTGGCCACATAGCCAAGAAAGAAAGCACCTAAAATAATACCTTGAGTTTTCTCGTCCCAGGCAAATTCTCCCGCGCTCTGAAATATATAAATTAATTTTTAATGATAAGAATAAAAAAAATATATATACAGGGTGATCGGAAACAATCGTATTCGTTTAATATTATCGTATTTTTGAGCGAATTCTATGATTATTTTTCCTTTTGCAAAATATTATTCGAGACTTAGTTGCTGAACTATAAAGATAAATAGTTGGTTTTTCACAGACCAGATACGGAAAGTAGGCAGGGACGGCATAATTCACCGTCAGACACAGACGTTGGGTAATACACATGTGACAATATTTATACATCTTAGCTTGAAAACTTTCAGTGTTAATGTGATTGTGCACAATAGTAAATAAATTATTATAATTTAGTTGAATATGATTATAACATAACGTGTAAGGGTGAAATAGCCGATTGCGTTCGCGCACGCGAACTTGTCCTAAGTGCAATATAAACTTTACATGTACGAAAAACTTTAAAAATAAGCATGAGAAGAACGAAGCATTAATCAAAGCATAAGATATTCTAACATTTGAGAAAACCGACGAGTTTGTATTGCGAACGCAATCGATTATTTTATCTTTACACGTTATGTTATAATTATATTTAACAATAATTGTTATAATTATATTTAACAATAAGTCAAAATAATTTATTTACTATTGTGCACAATCACATTGACATTGAAAGTTTTCAAGCTAAGATGTATGAATATTGTTACGTATTGCCCAACGTCTGTGTCCCATACAGCAGGAATGTCCCAAATATATCATAAGGATATCTTGAAGATATCACATATCCCAATAATATATCCCAAATATATCTTTAGGATATCCCTATGATATATTTTGGCCACCTCTGATGTGTAGGGTCTGACGGTGAATTGTGCCACTTCTGCCTACTTTCCATATCTGGCTTGTGAAAGGCTAATTATTTATCTTTATAGTTCAGCAACTAAGTCTCAAATAACATTTTGCAAAAGGAAAAGTAGTCTTAGAATTCGCTCAAAAATACGATAATATTTACCGAATGCGATTGTTTTCGATCACCCTGTATATATAAAGAGAAGATAGAATTATAGAAAGAATGTAAGTGTAATAAAATAATGAAAAATATAGCATATAATGCATATATATAATGTATTTGTGTGCAGAGGAGAATACTATCATTGCGTAATATACGCACACGTAAGTACACACGTATCTAAGTTATGTTTATATATATGTGTATATAAGTCACATGTAAAACAAGATAAGTCTGTAGATGAGTAATACGGGATGATAACTAATATCAGAATGGCGTAATAGAATAAGTTACACTCATGTTTAAGCTATAACATATAAAAGTAATATAGAGATTAAGCTAATTATATATAGTATAATATAATTACAAATTAATTATAAATTAATAATGATTTTACCGGTATAAATGTGCCATTTATTGGTTTGATTTTGGGGCAAACGTCACTAGTATCATTGTCTTCAGTATGTGGTATCGCTGTCTGATTAACCATGGAAACAATGGCTACTGATAAATTGACCCTCATAGCATATACCAGGGCAAAACCAAGAAAACCCAAGAAGCCCAACGTATGACGTGCTTTTACACATGATTTGGTATCAGTTGGTATTTGTGATGAATTAACTGAAAGAATATCGCTATGAGTATAAAATGTCAATCAAGAATTGTATTATCTGCATATGGATTATTGGTGATAATGATCTAAAGGATAAATTTTTTATTTCCTGTTGTGAAAATTTTGTAGTGATAATATATATATAACTATTCTTGACAATTGGTCAATCTCTTTGGAATGTTAATATTTTGGGTAAATATTTAGAAAAAGTCATACTGCATTAAATCTTTTCAATGTTATATATATTATAAGGAAGATATGATTGAAACTGATTCCTAGGAAAAATCAAGTGGAAGATGGTATTAGTTGTATAAAATTGAAAATTTTGGTGCTTTTACAAAGAAATATTTTAATGATAATTGAACTCAAATCTTGCATGTTTTTGTTAATCTTTTCCAATATTTATTTTAGTACATAATAGTTTCATCAATTTAGTAAGATAAGAGATTTCAGCAATAACAAAATATTCTTGATATGCAAGTGTAATACATACAATAAAATTGTTTGAATGAGTGTATATTGAAAGCAGTTTAAGTAGTTAAAAATAGGTGAAAACAATTGCTGACAATAAGTTGTTACTTAAAAAAATATAAAAGATTTTTCTATTTAGAAAGTGAGTCATAGACTGATACTGACAGATAATATGATCAACTTTAATTTTGTACTACTTGTAACATTAGATAATATCTAAAAAAAACATTAAAATTTTAATTTTAACATTTAAATTTCATTTTGCTATATCTCGATAACTAATGTCATCTTTCACTTGGTTACTGCTGAAGTAATCATTTGAATCATTTTCAACTATCTCTTCTCTATAATATATATTAATATAAAAAATATCAGTGACCTTGTAAAGTAGTTTTGTAAAGTAGTAAAATATAAAACGGATATTGAATATAAATTTAAAACATTCGAATGTATGTGCCAGTTGACGTTTTTCGCAAAACTAAAGGACTCTTCCTTGACGTGACGTTCAATTCGTCATCAACTGATGTGACAGATTGTTAGCAAATCCATAAAATAACACGTATTTATTTTCACGATATCTGAGCAACAGCATCATATTTAAACGACACATTATTTGCTTCGTCCATATCGCTGTTGATATTCCTTTGTTTCCAAACAATGCGTCGCATTATTTCGGCAAAGATAAACACTGTCATTTACGAGGAAGAAGTGCAATTACGCAGACGGTGGGTGTTACAGGAATGCAGGATGTTGTTGCGACGATTACGTGAACAGACCTCGTTCCAAGGAATCGTTGACGCAAAGTGGTTGATCGTCTCTGGAGACGCTAGGATCCAACACTTCCATGATGCTCACTTTTTCGTCTCCTCGCTGTCACGGCTAATCGTTCCGCTTTAAGGTGATCTCACGCTTTCACGATGACTCACTACCGTTCTAGACATCGAAATTATGTTTTTCTTCCACTCCCTCCAATGCATTCGCGTGACTAAACTGTCAGCCGAGAACGGACTGTCACTCCAGACTGCGCGGGTTTGTTGTCGAACAGTTTTATATCCGTTTGACAGTTCTTGCGTAATGTCAGTGGAATTCTGAAATTACAGACTAGCCACATCTTTGAGGCGCATTTGGTGACAAACCACAAGTCGCTTTCGCGATTGCGAAAACTTTATCGGCTGTCGCGTACAGGACGCGCTTCCTCTATAAGAAAGTAGATTATTATCGATAAGGTAGTTTTACAAGCTGAGTATTCTTTCTAACCATGATACGGTAAAGAAGAAAATAGAGCCGATAATACAGAGTTTCTGTAGTCCTGTGTAGCTGAGAGAATCAAAATGAGCTTCGCGTGTCACTAACCACAATAGACATCGTTTTATAATTTTGTATAACTGAGTGGCGTACAATGACGGTTAGTGTAAATTACAAGTTGGTCATTAAAATCGATCGTATTCTTTGATAATAAAATTGTATTTTAACGCACTGTTGTGATATATCATGGCCACGTTGCATATAAATCGTACAGTTCGTGATACTACAATACAATTTTTGTCAATAATTGATCGATTGTTATTGTTAACTAGTACAAAACCCAGTGACAAGAAGCAAATCAACGCATGCCTGAGTGATCTTAATGAACTGGATTACAGGTGGCTGGATGTTGTAAATAATGATGTAAGAAGTGTTCATATTTATATTTAGTGATAAGAATAAATATTTTACAATAATAATCACACTTACAGTTATGTTTTGTATAGTTAGTAATGTAGTAATTTGTGTTTGTACAGCTATTACAAGTTAATTACAAGTTAATGAGAACAGTTATTATATATATACAAGATTAAGTATAAATTAAAATCTGATTTACTTTTCAGCCCGTATTGTTGTTAGTGAATCAACTCTGTACAAATATTCTACCTGCAGAAACATCCTTAGTCCAGAATGCTTGTAAATTTTTATACAATTTAACAGAAAGCAATATCAAGCTTCATGGTCGTACATTTGTTGCTTGCAAGCGATGGATCTTAGAAGCTTTAGAATTTTCTGAGCCACTGGCACAAATTAATGTGCTGATTGCAATAAAGGGCTTCTTACATGTTGGATATTTCAGTGATGTTAATCAAGTTAGTATATATTTTCTTACAACAAACTGGTTATCAAATAGATATGTTACATTCTTGAAATTAAACATTATTATATATTTTATTTGTTATGTGTTTCAGTATGCACGATTATTACTCAAGGATAAGGGTTTGTTGATGAGACACTTGGATCCACTATATGGTCCATGGTCTGAAATCAATTTTCATGCACTTGAATGTTTAGAAGAAATTGTGGTAAATCAAAATGACAGTAATTGCCTATCGGATGAATTTATATTTTTGATAAGAGATATTATTTTCAAGATTCTATCACTATTACCATGTCGGGAAGATGATAAACTTTATTATAGTAAAGTATGTAACCTTTACTTATTATTATAACATGTAAAATTTTTGCTCATTGCATTATATAAAGTTTTACTCATTATTACATCAAGTTTTACTCATCAATATATAAAATATATATATTATTTTAATGACTACGTGTTTACAGGTTATACATTTGTGTCTGCATATCTTGCATTTTATGATGTTGGAGAAATTGATTCCCAATACTCCAGATTTTGTTGGAGAGGTGTTAGGTGTGGTACAAGCGTTCTTATTTCATGGCATTAAGGATTATTCGGCCACGAGACCACAATTACTTCGTCCTGCGGCGATGAATTTGCCGGAGCGCGTCCACGTGGTCCCAAAATGCAAGAATCTTAAGAACCACAAAGCGAGGCCGAAGAAGACAACTGCCAAGAAGATTATGTCTGGTGCGAGAAGTAATGTTCTTTCAGAGCATATCGGAATTTCTAAGTATTCCAGCGACTCGGACACATCGGACACGGAAGGCAACAATTCCGTCCATGTCGATTCCAAAGTCAGATTAGGAGCTGTGTGTTTGCTGCAGACTCTCGCGGAGCACACTCAGAGCAGAGAAATCTTTGGATATTGGCCACAGATTGTTGCTACCGGTTCACGGAATGACGCACGAGTGTTGACGAGAAGCATACTGGTGGAACCTGCGTCGAAAGTCAGACTAAATGTACTGAGCACGTTGACCGAATTGCTGATGGGTGCCAGGCCGTTCCTGATACATGCGGAGGATACCAATTATACTTCTTTCATCACGTTTTTCGGCACAGTATGTTTGATGGTCAAAGAGCTGCACTTCACATTATCGTTAGTTTTGTTCGCCGAGAAAAACGTGGCCGTCTTGACTCATGCGTTGAAGTGTACGGCAGCCCTTGTTCAAGGCACGCCGTACGAACGGCTGAAATCCGGTTTAATCAACAAATTAGTTAGAAACTGCAGGCCGCACATATTTCACAAAGGTATATAGCACTATTATGTGTATCAGTATAACTTTTAATTTGTTACACTGTCGTTACAGATTGCGTCATATATTTGCAGATCCGACTGTGCGAGTTGCAGCATTGTCCGTTTTCGAAGCATTCGCCTCGAGCGAACCTATCACTCCGGAGATATTAAATATATTAGCTAAGCAGTCTGTGAGTGATGCAGAATCAGGAAGACTGCAGTTTAATGATAGTTTTGCTAGCGATATCGGGACGGAGGAAGAAGAAGAAGAAATAGATATCGAAGATATCGATAATTCGGTGAGCAGCTCTAATGAGGTCAAAACATCAAAAAATGAGAGGATCAGTCTGTTGCTTCGTGTCTGCTTAGAAAATATATCTAACAAGGTAACGTGATCTGCATCTAAAACTAGAAATCTATAATTAAAGAAGTTAGCAATTGAACTAACAATGTATACAATCCAATAATCTGTACATATTAAAACAGTATTTTCTTAGGATTAATTTAAGCAGAAAACTTCCTATAAACATAAATCAAATTCACGATAGTTATCTAAATATAGACGTTCAAAATTAAAAGGATATTGATTATTGAGTTATAATTTTATCAAAATTTATTTATTTATTTTTATTGAACAAAAGTAACCAATTGTTCAAAACGAAGAAAACGAAAATAAAAATAAAATTAATTTCAATAAAATTATAACTCAATTTTTAGTTTTGAACGTCTAGATATTGTAAATTTTTATAGTAAATCTTCTGCTTAAGTTGATCCCAGAAATATGTCCTCTTAGTATATACAGTACGTCAATGGAATATATACACTCTGTATATTCCTTATTATAATATAATTAATATTAATATTTCTCTATACACATACACAATATTTTTTTAATTTTAGATGATCAGTACACCTGTACGACTTCAGTCTTTAAAACTCATAGGAAGATTGGCGTTTAATACGGGCAATCTCGTGTTCCCTCATTTGGAGAAAGTTACCACAACGCTGATCTCAGTTATGGAAGAGTCAGAGAGTCAAGTGGTATTACACGCGTGTCGGGTCTTAGAGATCATGTCCGGTTGTCTCGCAAACACCGAAGTCTACCATAGCAATGGCACATTATTCTGGAATATTATATTTGAATCTATGATATCACTCGCCCAAACATCGCAGACTATACTGCGAGAAGCTGTTTGTGACTGTCTGGGTAGCATCAGTGGAAATATATTCACTCAATTGTCGGTAAGTACCGATGAAAATTATATATAATTGCCTCAGTTTCACTACTTTATCTCTCACTTTATTAATACATTTTTATATTATTAGATATTTTTATATAATATCCGTATGCTATTATGCGATGCTCTTATGATATGCTGTAGTAAGTATAATTATTTTGATTTACATTTTCAGAGGCAAAGAACTATATTAGTAATAACGATACTGTTTGGAGCAGTTCGCGACGAAGAGAGCGCTGTGCGGGCAGCTGGACTACGTGCGTTAGGGATGTTAGTGACTTTGTCGGCGTTAGAAGACGATACCGGTTTTCTCATGGATCTAGCTGACATGGTTTGCATGGCTTCTGACGACAAGAATCTTGGTGTCCGTGTAAAAAGCGCTTGGGCATTGGCGAACCTGTGTGACTGTCTCTCTAAGCAAAAGTTTGTTCACACTTTTTTCATTTGATATGTGCTCTCTTTTTCGCGGCGTATGTTCTATCTATACGGATGTATTGGATATACGTTTTCCAGGCAGTACGAAGAGAGAGAACCGTTGCCTTTAGAGATTCTGTTACCTAAATTATATCAAGTGTGTGTCAAAGCTGCGAAGGACAACGACAAAGTGAAATGCAATGCTGTTAGAGCGATTGGAACAATTTTATATCTTTGTTCGGATAAGCATATACTTTCCGACACGGCATTAGGATTGGATGCGCTCATTAATTGCGCGGTCTTAGGAAACGACATGAAGGTAAGTTTCGATATAATTCTTTCCTAATCTCTTATGAGATACAAATCACTTATAACCCAAGCTGTTTGGTATTAGGACTGATTCTCCATCCATGCGCCAGAGAAAGTCTGGTTGCAATAAATAAGTATTCCTTGTTAGATGAATCTTACATTTATGTTAGGTACGATGGAATGCTTGCCGAGCTCTAGGATTAGTTCTGGGTCACAACCCAGACTCGATATTGTCACCTTCTTGGAAGGTACATACATACTTCAAAATGTATTAGTGAAGGAATTCATTTTGTTGAAATACAAAGGTGGATATTTTTGTAGGTCCAAGTATTTCCAGTGCTCACTAATTTGATATGTCACAGTCCTAATTTCAAAGTCCGCACTAACGCCGCATGGGCATTGTCTTCGTGTAATCATTACGGCGAATATACCGTGACATTGTGGAGAAGTATCATTTCAGCCTTTGATAATGCTCAGCACGTTCCGAGTTATGTAGAATATTCGCATCAAGACGCGCTGATTCAACAAGTGAGTATATTCGCTGACACTGCATTTTTTTTATTTAGTCGTTCGTGTAACCAAATACAAAATGTATCTTTTAGCTGTGTCTTACTCTCTGTCGCGTTGCCGCTTGCACAGAAGAAACCGAGTTGCAAAATCTTTGGATGGAAATTGGCGATCACGTAGGGGAAATTTCTAATTTCATGAAAAAGTACCAGGTATAGCGTGTACAACTGTATGAAGTACAAAAGATTATTATTCAAATAATAGTCTTACAAAATAGATTATTATATATATGTATATCCATATCGAGTGTTATGCTGCAGGAAACTGTGCTGCCTGAAAAACTGGGGGATTTAATCAGAGCAAGAGCACAATTGGAGCAACATGCGAAGAATGCCCGAGACGTCGAAAATCGTCAAATCGCTCAATCCTTGGCAAACATATTTGAAAGAACTAATCGCTATGACAATTCAGATGTGACACCTACAATATAAATTAATAAAAACAAGTAAAAAAAGAAATAAAAAATTTTCTGACAAGCATTCTTTGCATCAATTATCTCTCGGTATTTTTTTTATAATTAATTATACTAATACTTTTATTATATTAATATTGTGTTTACATGTTATATTAATATTTAATAAAAAGAGAATTTATAATAATCAATAGCAGTTATATTTTCAATTTATATTCTGATAAATTACTTTATTTGTAAAATGTAATAGAAAATTTATCGTACCATAGCTGCATGTGTGATATAGCATATTGTCTAATTGTAGAATCAAACTTTGTGGTTACAAATGTATCATGAAATTTTAAATCAAACTGAAATATTAATACGTATTGTCACGTTCCATTTTCACATTGACTGTTCTCACTTGTTACTTCAACAGGTACTTTTGATACATTTTCTTGGCTCTTATCTGTTGCCACTGATTCATCTTCAACATTGGACATGTCTTTAGAATTCTGAGTATTCTCTCTGTCATTTTCATGTTCTTCAAAAATATCTGCAGTTCCAGCTTCTTCATTCTCATCTGAACTATCTTCCTCACTATATCTTTCATCTATAACAGCATCATCTTCCTTTGTAGTTTTCATCTGTTTCTTCTGTTTACGTCCTTGCTTCTTTTTTAATCTTTTAGCACGTTTCTTTGCTGTTACTTGTTCTGCTAATTTTTTATTTTCCTCCAATTTTTGATGATACTCAGCATCTAGAAGCTCCTGTAATTTTTGTAATATAAAGAAATATATAAGATACAAAAAGTCCAATGATTTATATATAATCTTGTTTATAGCTTTTGTACGACAGTTACTTTATGTGCTTTTTCTTGAATAAACTTTTGACGTGCGTATTCCTTACGCCGTAAGTGTCTATATACGTGGAACTCTCCACTACCAGCTCCAGCGCTGCTACCCATGACATTACGAACAAATTCTGGAACGGATGGTGTACTCTTGGCTTTAGGACGTTCTGGTAGTATCATTGGCTTATCCTATGGCATTAAAGTGTAAATTACTCCAATTATATCTTAAAATAGTGTAAAAATATTAAGAAAGAATTTAAAAGCAATTTAAAATATGGTACTTACTATGTTTTTCATCAATTTCACGAGTTTTAACCTTTGCAGATCTACGGCTGTTTTCGCTACTACAGGTTTCTCTTCGTCCTTCTCTTTACTATTTGACATGTTTTTTATTATACTATTGATTGTAAGAAGTGGACTTTACGGCGAGCGTATATGCTTGCGTGGACTCAAATTGTTTAACATTAAATCGTCAATAAATGAAGTCGGTAATGAACTTCTAACCTAACTTGTGAGAGAAAATCCACTGTTGAGTCGTACTACTTGAGAATAAAGACTTGGCTGACCTGCCGTTGAGTTACGCTCTATGCAGGGCTGCGTTCAGATTCCCTATCCAGCTGCACTTTAAGGATGCTTTCCAATTGCTTAACACATCTTGACACATACGTACACAAAACCAGTTTATTGGTCGCATATTATCTAAAATATCTTATAAGATAATATACAACCAATATACTTATAAGATAATATACAACCAATATACTTATAAGATAATATACAACCAATATACTTATAAGATAATATACAACCACAAGACTGGTTTTGTGTACACAAAACGTAACTGGAAAGCACCCTAATACTAGAAGTTCTAGGGTGTTTCCGATAATACCTCTCCGAGTTGTTTTCCTAGAGCAGAAATAAGTTACAGACATCACCATCTACTACTATTATATGATTCATGACAACCCAAAGTTACCTAATGCTGTCTCACAACTACAGTGGGTTAGGCAGAACAATATCGTGACAAATACACGAGATAATAATTTTGTAAAATTGTATTATTGATTATGAAATCATCTGGTGTTGTTTTCTAATAAAATTTTATGTATTCTTAATTAAAGTTATATAACCATTAAAATATATATTATATTTTTCAAATATTATCCTAAAGTAAAAAATCACACTGTTTTAACCTATTTGCAAGTATTCTCTCTCTCTCTCTCTCAATATGACTTCAGGCAACCAAAAGGCGTACCCCCAACACTACTCAACTATTTGCAAGTATTGTTTTTACATGACTCGTGTAGGTGCAAGTCCACAATAAAGTATACATTACTGATTGGGACCTGACGTCGGACATACGACGATCCAATAGCCAATAGCAAAATTTATTTTCTAGGAACAGTACATCACTAGTTATGGCTCCTGTACACAGGACGCGGTAGTGCTTGCCTCGCGGCGGAAGTTCACGCGACAGCCAATCAATATGCTACTTTCCGTAATAACCTTCTAGCTTTTACGGAAAAACAACATATTGATTGGCTGTCGCGTGAACTTCCGCCGCGAGGCAAGCACTACCGCGTCCTGTGTGCAGGAGCCATATGTGCAGAAGCCATTAGTAATCTTAAAAAGTGCAATCTTGATGCATACACGAGATGCATTCAGCTACATCTGTTGCAAATAAAAGAACGCAACCTAGGTGTAGTAAGTTTTAAGCTTTAAGAAATTGACCAATCATAATCGAATTATAGAAGAATAGTTAATTATGATTGATTAATTTCTTATGACTTAAAGCTTACTATATCTATTGTAGATCGGGACTAACATGTTACGGTTCGCTTTGGGCGCTTATGCGCTTATGCGCTTATGCCAAAGCGAACGCAGCCTAGATTGGGTGCGTTTGCTTTGAGCGCTTATGTGCTATAAGCGTCATTCTATCTTCTTCCCGCATATAATGAGCGATAAAAATAGAATGACGCTTACAGCGCGTAAGCGCCCAAAGCAAACGCAGCCATTATGTTAAGTACTGGAAGTTGATTCTGTATCTCAAAACGAAGTAAAAATTACAAAAGTAAGCAAATATAGAATATTCGTAATTTCATTGGTCAGTGCCTAATGAATGTGCTCACTTTTGTAATTTTCACTTCGTTTCGAGATACAGAATTGACTCTCTGACCTTTGTCTATATAAATATGGACTGTCAATTACCCCAATTTTTCCTATTCTTATAACATGTTCGATTGGCTCTGGGTTAACTCACTCTGGGTTATTCAGCTTACGTTTATTGGTCAAACAAGTACTTATAAGCTTTATGATTGGCTAGTAGAGACTTATGACGTCATTAATTGCTCTCGGAGCGATTAATCCAGTGTTAGTCGAACACACTATAGTCAAAGGTCCATACTTATAGCGTTTTTCATTGGCAGAATTGGTGCGCACTGAGTGCGCACTAAGCTTGTTCACAGTATGTTATTATATTGAAAGATTGTCTTAAATAAATTCTCAAATATTTTTAACCAGTAATATAATATGTATAACATCCGTACGAATCATTTTATAACCTAAAATATTTTTAAATATGTATTAAGACACGATCTTAAATATGAAAATATATTGTAAACAAGCCTTAGTGCTCACTCAGTGCGCACCAGTTCTGCCAATGAAAAACGCTATTATATAGTCAAAGGTGCGCACTCAGGTCAAGTTCCAACACATCCGTTTAATTTTAACTACCGGTTAAGTCCTAATAGTGATTGGTTAATTCTTATCAAATGTGATTGGTCAAGTCCAGTGGAATAACCAGCTAGTTAAGTTAACTGGAGGTTGTGGAACTAGGCCTCAATGCGCACTAGTGCAAGCAACCGAATTTGCTATTAGAGTGAGAAAACGTATATTTGTCTCACTTCAATTTATTAGGTTGGTTTTTCGTTTCTGTACTGCTAAATTGATGCAATAAATTAAAGCGAAAAAAAATATACATGTCTCACTCTAACTTATTGCACCAGTTCAGCAGTACAGGAACAGAAAACAGACCCATCGCATAGTTCAGGAATGCAGTTACAAAGAACAGGTTTATTGTAAATTCGAATCCTGAATAAATTAAATTCTTGTATTGATTCAATAATGTATAGGCACATATACGTTACATGAATAATAATTTATACATAAATTGTTTTGTAAAAATAGCAATATTTAAAGTTCGAAATATTTAAAGGTCAATTTAATATTCTATTATATATCGATCAGTCGATTACTGTCGATTGAAACAAATAGCTGGTGCTTCTCTCAACGGGCGAAAGGTAATTGCAGGTAATTGTCAACTTTTAAGAAGAGTTAATGATAAATAATTAGATATGAATATGTATATATATATGAGATATGATAATAATATTAATGATAAATAATTAGATATATAATTTTATAAAATTTGTATTCTTGTGAGAACAATATAAGTAGTATTGTAATTTTTGTTATAACTTTTTAATATATATATTTTTTGTTTGTCACCATTTTGAATAATATTAATTTTTATATAAGATTAATTTTACTTTTATATCAAATTCTTTCAAACGATTCTTTTATCTTGTTTTATGTAATAATAAAAAACAGATGGAAATTATAATTTAAATATACAAACTTTTCAGATGACATTAATATGATGGACAATAATCAAGAAGACAGAACTGTAAATAGTTCATTGTTAACTCCAATTGATATTATTGATTTAACGAATGAGTCGCCAATTAGAGCTACACAAGTACATAAAAAACGCTTAGAAAATGCACTTACAAGTGGTAACAATATTCCAATGGATTTAAGCCATACCTCTAAACATAAAAAGTATGTGTCAAGCAGCAATAAAATGTTCGTACATATATATATTTTTTATATATTTTATTTATTTTCTTAATAAAGTTAAAATACATATATGTATCATCTAATTTTCAATTGATTGCTGCAGAAAAAGTTCTACTGTATCTACTAATTTGAAAACAAAACATAAGAATGTTACAAAACATATGGAGGATACTGTGACTCTTGATGATACAGTCTGTGTTTCTGATGATGATAAACACTATGTAACAGAGTCAGATAATGGAAAACCATTACCCTTAACATGCCCGATATGTTTTGAACCATTATGTTCCAAATTAAAACCCACTACTACTCATTGTGGACATATCTTTTGTGCGCAATGCTTAGAAGCACATTTTCTTAAATCCAAGAAATGTCCCACGTGCCAAAGAACTATTTCATTAAAATCCTGTACACGTTTATTTTTGTAGATAAGTTTTCCTTATTCAAATAAAATTTGTAATTTTTATATTTTACATTAATTTTAACTTTATTTATATCATTTGTATTGGATTAATCACAAAAACTGTATTTACTATATTAACATATATTTTTGGCATTTTTTCCTTTTATCAGGCTTATTTTGCTAACCTGCTATTGGGAAAAATTATTTATTTTGTTACTTGTAAGCTAACTATAGTGCATAAGGTTAAAATTTTGTATTAGCATTGATTTAGTATGTAACAGTTAAGTAAAACGTGTGTGTGTGTTTATGTATTTTAAGTAAATGTATAATAAATTATAAAGTATATAATCAAAAACATATATATTTATTAACATTTTCAGGAACATTTGTCTACATATCCATATACAATTTGTTCCACACTGCGTAATCTCAATTAAAGAAGAAAAGTCCAATTTTTTCTTTAGTAACTGTAAAATGATAGCTAAATAAGATTATAAGAATTATCTAATCAATTTCTTTTCATCACAACATAAATATAAATATGTAAATATAAATATAAACATAAATATGTTTCCATTACATTTTAATATGTTGTTTCCAATAGGATGAATTGTCTGAATGTGCTTCATAAAAATATTCTTCTTTAATGACATTGGAAGTAAATTACTCCAAATATAATACTAGCTCTATTTCAAATATCGCTATATTTCTATTATGGAATAATTATATTATTGTATTTTGTTTAGCAAATATATAAAAATTTTAGTTTGATAGAATGTCAATGATATATTGGATAGTGATGCATAGATAGCATAACAATTTTGGTAAGAAGATAAAAGATGTCAAGATTTGTAACAAAACTTAATAAAGATAAGCTAAGCATGCAAACAATTCTGAAATATACATATATATGTATGCATATATGTATATATGAATATTGCAATTGCAGTGAACAAAAAATCTATGCTCTTGTTAGATCACAGACAAGATAAAAGAAATTTATCATAAAGACATATTTCCTTAACTAATCTTGTATAAACACTATATATATATATATATATATGTGTGTGTGTGTGTGTGTGTGTGTGTGTGTGTGTAAAAATGAGAATACAATTTTGTAAACTATAATGCAGCATTAAACTCAAATTCAGATACCAAGATTTCCAGTGATTATTAACAACATTTCTAATTATATATTTATCAAATAACTTTTTGTATAAAACTATTTTATAACATTTGTGCATGCGAAAGGATTGTTATAAAATATTAAAATTTCTAATGATACAATTAGAGCTTTTAGTAAAAAGACATAAAATAATATTTATTTCTAAATTCTCCAAATTTTCTTTAAAGCTTGATTTATAATGTGTTCTTCGGTGTGTAATAAACCTCTTATAGTTGTTTCTATTTCCAAGTAGAACAAATTTCTAAAAGATATCTTAAAAAGTTTTAAAAGTCTAAAAAACATAGGACGTCTTTATGTTATCTTTCAGAAATTTGTCCTACTTGGGTTCTCCGGTTCCGAACTCGTGATTCGAAATTACGCGCGTCGAATTATCGACGAATCATTCAATTGTGCTTGTGGCTCTTGCCTACAGAGGACGCGACAGGTAGGAAGCGGATCGAGCGTCAGCCAATCGACACGCCGCTTTTACAGAAATAATAGATACATACTAGGACGCCGATTGGCTGTCGTATGCCTACAGCGTTGCCCAAATGAATCCTTTCACGTCTCCCATTCGCCGAGCACGCCCAGGCCACGCCTACGTTCACGTTATGGCGGCGTAGTAGAAAAATGACATACACAGCCTGTTATGGAGGAAGAAAGGACTGTGCGTTGCGATGAAGGCTACCGTTGGTTTTGTTGTTTCGCGTCTCGAGGCGAGTGTCACGGCGTTTTCTCGTGGTGAACGGCATTGTGCGGACGTGATGTGCGTCGGGACGAGCGAATAAAGCGCTCGTGCGATCTCGCGCATCGAGGAGACACCGAGTGTCGCTGTGTCGTGTCATTGACTCAGGACGAAGTGTCAAAATGGTGTACGGGTCCGCTTTTGCCACGATAAGTAGTAATTGAACGCTCTCGCGAGCAACGTTTTGTCAGCCGGCGATCCCGCACGGTGTTTGCAGACGTCGTCCAACGACGAGGGAGTGCGACTTGCGGGAGTGAGAACACAAAAGTAAGAACATGTATATATGACGACGAGACGATGGACGACGAGGGACGATGACGACGACGACGACGGACGACGACGACGCAACGTAACGACGATGACAACGTCAGTGTGTTTTGTTTTCTTTCTTTTACAGTCTCGCGGAATTCGCGTCGCACAAAGCAAATCAACGTTGACGATCATTGACAGACAGGACGATCGCGTATGCGACGCAGTGCGACGTGTGTGTGTGCCAGTCGTTATCACTGTCGGCGCTTTCACGCTTGTTTACAGAAGCGATTTGTTTAATATCGCTCGATTTACATGAGTTTCAGGAGCTCTTTGCCGAGAAAGATATTCATTATCGGTAGTATTTTTAACTCGACTCGCGATGCCGTCGGTTACGTTACGCGGATATATTTTCCACATGATCGAGTTTATCTGCCAGCTTATTTCCAAGCTCGTATATTATTACGAATCGTTGTAATTAGCCTATAATTCATTCATTGAGCAGAGACGTGGGTCTTGATATATTTGGCAGGAGTGCCGATAGTGAAGTAAATATTACGTGTGCTGCATGTACGCGAATATATATATATATATATACATATATATATATATATATATATATATATGTGCGTATGTGTGCGTGTGTGTGCGTTAGCACGAATATTGCTGTTGCAAGCAGAAGTTTGCGTGTTATTACATAAGGTAAAAGCTTCAGTAAATGAACAATGTCCTAATAACTGATTGAAATATTAATAATATCTTTATATTCAATATTTCTAAAAGAGCCTCTGAAATTTTGTTAAAAGATATTTCTTTATATTAATCAGTTAATCATTGAGTCTGTATTATTTGATAATTAGGATATGATTCATTTTTTCAGATCAATTACTGATATAACTAACATTATCTCGTTAAAATTATAATTTGATATTTATTCATTATTTTATCTATTTACTATTATTTCTCAATTGCTGACAAATCCTTAAGGTTTTATACAGATACCAATTTTGCTAGTAATTACATGAATTATTTACTAATAAATGTAAAACTTACTGTGCTTTTTTGTCAGTTTAGTCATTAGGACATGTATCTTAATTATCTGAAGGAACTGCAATGAAATATTAGCTGCAAGTTGTGCATATATATGCAAACACAACAGATCTATATATGTCTATTTATAAACACAGCGTTTATATGTGATTTCAGGCTATATGTATTTTGGCACTAAGTGCTAAATAGCACTAGTAAAATTCGAATTGAGTTTCACACGAGATCCTGATTGCCATTGTGGATACTATTGGGAGGACAATGATCGAAGAACCAAGATGCGTTTAATCAAACTTACTCATTAGTGATTGTATGTTTGCTGAGGTTAGAGAGTGATGCCGGTTCATCAGATCAATGTTAATCCGCCTGACTGGCAACCACCTCTGTCACTTGGACCTTCCAGTAACACCAGCCCCGCTGGCGGGGAGGGTTTACCAGAATGGACACCACGGGTAAGACTGAGATGAACAGTGATACAATTATATCTCTGATTCCTCCATGAAATATGGAGGTAAGATGAAATACTCAATTATTGGCATTCCTTTGGCCACATATTAGATTTATTGTGGAGAAACTGTTGCAACTAACTAATGCATGTTAGTGCGATAAGTTAGTGAAAAAGAATATACCTGTTTTATTTTAACTTATTATATTAGTTTAAAAGTTTTCTGGAAAAATGAACAGACCTATTGACATTCCAGAAGAAAATCTGATTTTTTTTATGATCAGCATTGCAGTTAAACTTCTTTCCTGTATTGTATTCTTTTTAGCTGAACTGGTGCTGAAATTTTGTTTTTTTTCCATTCAGTATTTGTCTCTATTTATCTCACTTTATTAAAAGAAAAGAAATGCCACTTTGGTCCAGCCAAAAAGATAGCTTTTATGATTCTAAAAGAAAACTAGACAAGAAGAATTGAACAAATGTCGTTAGTTGTAAGAAAAATTTAGTTTCTCCAGATCAATGACTAAAAGTGATCAATAATTGGGTATTTTACCCTGGATTGTACTCAGAGGAAAGGACATGGTGATGATAGCTATGTAGGTGATAGCTGTGTAAAGTTTGTATATAGAATTGTAATGTATTATATATACAGTTATTACAACTGAAGCTTTACTTGCAGTAACTACAAAATAGCTTATTTTTTAGTTAAATGAAAATAATTTATCAACTAAAACTTCACTTGCACTACAAAATAGTTTATTAAACTATATACATTATAATTCTACATACTTCTACAAATTTGTATGGTCATCATCTATTGCCACACTATATCTTTTTTCTGAGTGTGTTTCACAAGTAAAACCACTTAGGAACTCTGGTAACAGCATCATGAAAGCGTTGTAGTTGAATGTTACAATATCATATCTTGTTCTTGTATATATTATAACTCAATGTTACTTTGACATTTCGTTATTATATAGCGGTAATGTTATCAGAGAACATAAATTATGCAGAAGGTAATGCCACTTTGATGATAAACCGTTTCTTTTTTCTTTGGAATGATTCATAAAACTGCTGGTTATTTCAGGAATCGGGTTACGCCACGGTAGTCACCATTATACCAGATCATTGTCACTCGTCAGTGAGCACATTGTCCTCCAGCAACCATGATATTTGCAGGTAAATTTACATCGCCCACATATCGCATAGATGTACATAAGTCATTTATGGCACAGTGTTTGCAACTTCGATTACAATATGAAAAAGTAAATGTACGTCTGTTTGTAAATAGGATTTGCCATTGTGAAGGCGAAGAAGGTGCTCCTTTGTTGGCGCCTTGTTATTGCAGCGGCAGCCTGCGCTACGTACATCAAGCGTGTCTTCAGCAATGGATAAAGGCTTCGGATACACGCGCTTGCGAATTATGCAAGTTCACATTCATTATGCATGCCAAGACAAAGCCGTTTTGCGAGGTAACTTATTCCCCTTGGTCGGAAAAAAAACTCTTTCGAGAACGGAGAGATTGCCAAAGTGTCCTAATTTCATCGTACTTCCGATTACACGAATAAACGGTGTACGATGGTCCACTTGCAGTGGGAGAAGCTGGAGATGTCCGCACTGGAGGTGAGAAAATTATGGTGCGCCGTCGCTTTTCACGCCGTAGCCGCGCTCTGCGTGGCATGGTCGTTGTACGTGCTGGTCGAGCGTTCGGTGGAGGAGGCTCGACGCGGTTTCGTCGACTGGTCCTTCTGGACGAAACTGATAGTCGTCGTGATCGGCACCACCGGCGGATTAGTTTTTATGTACATTCAATGCAAAGCGTACATTACATTGTGCAGGAAGTGGCGAGCGTTTAATAGGTGCGCTAATGCGAAAAGCACGCTGCGTGCGATGTCTTACATAGCGGCGATTATTTTTCTGCTTAGAAAACAAAAGTTTCTCTCTCTCTCTCTTTGGGTATTGCAGATGTAAGTTGCGCTTCGGCATTTCCAACTGATCACCGTTGATGTTTGTTTCAGAGTAATATTTATTCAAAATGCTCCTGAAAAAGTGGTGCTTCCTCCTTCACCTACGGACTCTCTGAGAGAGGTGACGTTGCCCTTGAAGGACCCGACTGCCTCGATGCCCGAGCTCAATCGCACTCTGTTACCCCGTACCATAGATCCTCCATGTGCCTCGCAGCAGATGGCGAAGCCCGATTCCGCCGCGCCGCCGCAGAGGCACGACGCTCAACTAAAACTTTACGTATTCGACAAGTTGTCCTCGTCCGAGGACAACCTATAATACACGCATACTTTGGCGAAACGGCGAGACTGCCGTTAATCGTTCGTTGAGAATGAAGAGAAAAAGGAGGAAAGGTGATTAGCCAAATTTTCAGTTCGAAGTAAGCGCGCGGGCGTGTCTGGACAGAACTGGGTGATTTTAGACTACGTATAATTACGATTTCGAAACTCGGAGCGAGAAGATCACATCCTTGTCGCGAAGTCGTCGAATATCCGCCCTTAAATGAAACAAAGCACCTTTTTCCGAAACTTAGTTCTTCATCAGTGCTTACAGTGTTGACAAGTGGGGTAGACGAAAGTGTACAGTCGGAACACAGCTGGCGCTTTCTCAGACAATTATGTACATAATTATTGTATCTGTGATGTTATTAAATAAACTTTACCATATTTAAACAATATAAGAACAATATAAGAAAGTTCAGTAGTAATAAGTATCTGTATAAGAGAAAGAAAGAGAGAGAGAAAAAGAGAGAAAGTAACTAAAGGATAAAAGTACCAATTTCCAGATATGTACTTAAACCTGCACATCCGTATTGTTTTGATCATTACGAATATTTTAACATTTATATATATATATATATTTCTCATGTGTTGAAAGTTTGAAATTCGAATTTAAGATCCTCAAGTACTTGCCGCGGCCATGTTGGATTGTAACATTGAAGCAAGAAACAATACACAGAAATTGCGTGCAATTTCTAAATATAAAAATATTTCTAAATATAAAAATATATAAAAGAACACTTCAGGGTGTTTGAGTATACTTGTAAAATGTTTCGAGAATTTTTTTTTAATAATTAATAAGTAGCTACAATAGAGTCTACAGAATTATCTGTTGACTTCTTAGCATTAGCGTTTGGCGACTACGTCCGCGTTCACGTTTGCATCTACGATTGTCTCGTGACTAAAGGTCAAATCACACTAACAATTGGCGATAGATGATTGACGATTGAAGATTGGAACTTGACCAAGTGGAACAAAACAAGCCAAAGCTGAAGCTCGTTGATTCGTCAAAACCTAATCTTCAATCGCCAATTGCTAGTGTGATATGGGCTTTAAAGGCTAAATCACACTAGCGATTGGCGACTGACGATTGACAATTAAAGATTATATTTTAACGAATCAACAAGCTACAGCCTTGGTTTGCTTTGTTCCAATTGGTCAAGTTCCAATCTTCAATCGTCAATCATCTATCGCCAATCGTTAGTGTGATTTGGCCTTAATGCAGGAGCCAGCAGCTCTTTTCTGATTGGTGAAGGGACAATCGTAGATGCAAACGTGAACACAGTCACAAACCATGTTCATATTTTCTATATGAAAAGAGACTGTGTATATATCATGTAGGCACCACGTAAATAATCCGTAGACGTAATCTTGAAATCTACAGTACCTTGTGCTTTTACTTTATTTTTAAGAGCCTATTTTGTAACTTTTAGCAATAGTGTTATATTGTCGTTGCGCAGTTTTTCTACCATATATTATATCTATGTAACGATACATAATGATAATAACATCGTTAAAAGTTACAAAATAGGTCTTTAGTTATGTATAATTTTTCATTGATCATTTACAACATAGGCAGACAACGCGGAAGTGTCTCCATCTGATGTACATTTTCTTCTAACTTTTTATTGCACCGCCTTATACTTTCTGTACTTCGAATAGGACAGCTATATACGCTCGAATTAACGGAAAAGAGAAAGGCGAGACAGAGACAGGAAGAAAAAGTGCACGTAGACGCACCGCGATTGCAGCGGAAGCGAACCTTCTACCACGGCGATGCTAGCGCCGTATCGATCGAGTTGGCGCGTGACGGCGAGCGAATATCCAGCCAGATTCTCTCCGGTGCTCGATGCTGCCCTATCGATCGGTTGATCAGTGTCGCGCGTGTCGCCGAGAGGTCGGTTGCTTCGTCAGTGGTGGTGCTTCCGCGCGGCAGACCGCGCGCATTGCGAGAGTTCAGTCGATAGTCGCGCGAAGTCGTACGTGGATATTGTTGGTACGCGGGGAGCGCGAGAGAGAAAGAGAGAGAGCGAGTGAGAGTGAGAGAGCGAGAAGGAGAAAGAGCGAGCACAGTTCGAGTTCCCGACGAAGCGCGGAGGAGTGCCTCGACTCGCACGAGACGTGCGCGATATCACTCGCGAAAACGAGTGTTCTCGTGTCGTGAGTTCTTGGAGCCGTTTCCGTTCGGCACACGTCTGCACCGTTCTCGTCAACACGCTGCTATGTAGCGCCGGTTTGTAAATGAAGCAGCGGCGGCATATACCGCGCTCGCGTGTCGAGGGGAGGAGAAGAGCGCCGTCCGCTGTAACCGCGGCGGCGGCAGCGGCGGTGGTAGCGGCGGCCGCGGGGGCGATGGGAATGGCGCGCAAATGCTGCGTGCGTAGCTGCGAAGCGGACGTGCGGGAGGCGCGCGCCAAAGGATTGCCGCTTCACAAGTTCCCCAAGGACGCCGCGCTGAGGGACAGGTGGTTGGCCAGCGGTGGATTCGGAGCGGGTTTCAAGCCGACGCCGGGCCAGGTAGTCTGCCATCGACATTTCAAACGCGCCGACTACGAAGCCGTGGCGCGGGGCCACAAGTTCCTGCTGAAACGGGGCAGCGTTCCCTCGGTCTTCGCCGACTATGACAATCATCCAGGTACGTGCACGCGATCCTGCGTCGACGGTCAACCGACCGCCTCGTGCTGCTGGAGGGAAATGGACGTAGTCGCAGGCGTGTAGCACAATGTAGTTATCTTCGCGCATCCTTTTCTTTCTTTCTGTCGCTTCTCTTCTTCCTGCTCTTGCACCTCCTGCACCTTTGCCTCTTTGTCACTCTCTCTCTCTTTGTCTTCCTTTCTGTTTCCTCGTCTTTCTCTCTCTCTCTCTCTCTCTCTCTCTCTTTCTCCCTCTTTCTCTCTCTCTCTCTCTCTGTTTCGCTTCTCCGATATTCCCGCTGTGTCCTCTCCCCTCCCGCGTACATACTCCGGCTCGATTTGTCGAGTCGTGTCATGGCGCACTGCGCGCCGTGCCGGTCGTCTCTACGTGCGCGTCATTTTTTCCGCGAGAATGCGTCCACGACAATGTGATCGTCATCGGCGGTGTTGACGAATGCTCGTGAAAATGTGTCGAACAGTTCGTAACGTTCACGCGCCTATGACACTCAATTGTTCGCCGATAACAGCAGCGTGAACCGTAACGCGGCTAAGTGTTGTTCTGTTTCTCTTAGTGCGCGACCTTTCTGAGGTTTGTTTTATATATTTACATTCAGCCTCTATGCGCATAGTCACCTTTCTCTTAGTTCACAATGTCGTAACTGAAATTAACAGGCAGCTTCTACGACATACTGTGCAGAAGATATTCGGGAGAATGTGTTATGATTTTTGAAGATGTATTGTTATTAGATTTTATTTGTGTTCACAGTTTTAGTTTGATATACAGTACAACTTGCTAATAAATATTGTGTTCAAATATATGTCACGCGTGCAATTATACAGAGGGAATATTTTAGTTTCTTTTTATATAAATTCTTTTTAATTTTATTATGTTTCTATACAACTTTATTATGTTTCTACACAAAGAATATTATAGCTTGTTTTTCCATATAAGTTTATTTTATTTTATTATGTTTTTAGCAATTCAGAAAAAAAACAAACTGTCAGTAAGATCTATCTTGTCAAATTTGCTTTGTAAATTTCATTAGAATCCTAGTTTTCTAGAAGCATAGTAAATTTTTTAAATGGCACATTTCAGTTCCTAAAATATAAGCAACACTCATTAAATGAAACTATAGTGAATTACTGAAAGAGAATTCAATTCTTGTTTATAAAACTCTGTAGCAACTTTTACTATGAAATTTTCTTTGTGTGGTATGACATTGAATTAACTATTTTTCTTCTTTTTTCAGATCCTGTGATTATGTCGGTAAAATCCTCGACATCGTATGCACAAGAAGATCTAGATCTAATCAATTCAGAGATATTGAATCTGGAGCATTCTATCTCACCGTCATTGTCTGAGGCAAGAACACCCAAATCTGACAGTTGCGGTGAGCCATGTTACTCCAGGCCTGAATCTTCCACCGACTTCTTAAATCCTCCAGACAGTTCGGAATCAGCAGACATTGCATGCAAAATGACGACTCTGAAAGAGGAAACTATGACAACAGTAAAAGACAGATTGATGGAAAATTCAGATAGCAAAGTGAACACAGTAGCAGTGCAGCTTGGCATTGTTGAGCCAGGAACAATAAAGACTGTTGCCAAAGATTTAATGTTAAAGGAAGAATTGAAGGATATTAAGTTATGTGATGATAAAGAGTTTGATAAAGAGGAAGAGATAAAACCAAAAGTTTTCAGTAGAGATGGACTGAAGTTTTATCCTGGTGCCAAATTGGAAGCTAAAGACTTTAGTGAAAAATGGCAAGTATTGTTGAGAGCAATTTTTTAACAGTGTATTAAAACAGGATGTGGAGTTATATTGCGTGATATGAGAGTTACAAGTGCAAATTACACATGAGAAGTGTAAAGTGTAGATTCAAAAGTTAAACTGTAGATAGAGAAGGAGTGGAATCAATAAATATATTGATTCATACTTGCAGGTATTCCGCAAAAGTGGTAGAAACAGACTGGGATGAAAGAGAAGTTCTAATACACTTTGACAAATGGAATTCAAGGTTCGACGAATGGATACCGATGGATAGTTCCAGGTTACGTGTATTACAAACCCCGCCAAAGTAAGTGAGCGTTCTCATTATCAGAAATATTATGATATATCAATGATCAGTTATCTAGGTTATTTAAATCTTCACAATGTCCTCCGAATTAAAGACTTTGTCTTGACAAAACTGTTTTCTGTCTTTCTTTAAAGTGAACAAGCTTGGATCCCGCCATCACCGTAAGTGAAAATCGTGTTAGTGAAAGTCACCTACAACCTAGGTGAAAATTACAGTCATCTACATAGTGGTATAGAGAGAGACTCATGATTTTGTAGCATATTTTTAATCTGACCCAATTAACAAGAGATCTTTATACTTTATTAAGTATCAAGATTACTTAAGGTCCTGTGTTTATTGCATCAGTGAAGATGAGAGTAGATATTGGTCCACCGCTGAATATACTTCAAATAATGGAATGCATATAGAAGATTCAGTTTCTGTTATATACATTGAATTTTATTTTTGTGCTGTGCAAAAATATATAGTAAAAATAAAAGTATACATAACTTTTTACAGATAAAAAATGCAAGTTTTCTCTAGTTTTTTTTTTAGTTTTGCTGTACTAATTGCACACTTAACTATCACGTACGTCAGAATTCACGGGAATGAGCAATATAAAATTTATTTTCACTAATATACTTGTTATTTATGCAAAGCCACATTAGGACAATTTTCCTAATTGCTGAAACATTGCTGGACCAATTTTTAAAATTCAGCTCAGTGTTTATTTCTGTACGTCACGATTGTATAGTTTTGACAAACGAACCGCGCGAATCGATGTTATTTAAACAAAAAAAAGCGAATCACACGAGACAAATTTTTCTCTTGAGGTTTTCACGTTCATTTAATTTTAAAATATATTCGACTCGCGCATAATGCGTGGATTTCGTACCTCCAGGGAAACAAAAGTGAGGGAGTTTTCAGTGGGAGAAAGGATACTCGCTACGTGGGCGGATGGTAAAAAATATCCAGCCAAAGTGAATGCGGTCTTGAATAATGGTAAGGAACCTAACCTTAACTGCAAGCGGAAGAGAGACGGACTGCGTTTCGCAGATAACTGTTTGACGTTTGCACCTAAGGAGAGAGGGATATATATATATATATATGTTTAACATTTTTATCTCAATGAACTAGAGCACCTCGAAAGTAGATCTAAGTGAATCTTCTTCGCAGATAAATACGATATATTGTTCGATGATGGATACGGGAAAATCATTAAATCGTCAAAAATGACCAAGATCGCCGAAACCCCAACTAAGGTACGGATTCGTAGGTTGAGGTTATGTTGTTGTTTCTTTATAGCTGCAACTTAAGAAAATTTTATTTGAGTTAGTAGAATTGAACAATACTTTTTTCCCTTGTGTTTAGCATTACTTAACATTATTTCTAAATTGTTATCTGAGCAAGCCATAAATATTGATATTAGAGTGAAAATTTAGAACAAGCTGTTGCGAATGGAATTTTTAATCTGAAGTTTCCACATGTATGTCACATAAAATGTAATTGTATTGCCACTATTGTTATTACAAATTATTTGTGTTGTTTCATTTAACCAGCAATCGTGTGAATCAGACGGATATATCGGTAGCAAACAAGAAAGAAGGGACAAGAAACGGAAACACACAATTATGGAGTTGTTTCACACTAACTCTAGAAAACGCATAAAAACTGACACTGACAAAACACCAAAGAAAATGGAAACTGTTGTTAAGGAAAGCACAGAAAGCAGTATAGAGCCCAAGATTGAGCTGGACGGCACAATGTATGGTCCTTGCTTCGAGCCTGACACAAATTTGTTAAAGGGGTTTGATACCAACATCTCAAGGATCAAGTCATACTCAAAGAAGAGTAAGAAGGAATTGCCCAAAATCGATACAGATCACGAAGAAGATGTTGGTCCTGAATGGATTAATGGAGAACCACAAGGGACAGAATCCTACATTGTAGATGGCAATGATGGTAAGTTCTTGTTTGATGTAGTTAATTTTACAGTTACTATGATATTGACAAAGTATATGTGATTTTTTTACATCTTTTGCTTTCTTACAACTACTTATATTTCTTTTGTTTACTTGCTTGATATTGACCTTTAATCTCTAGGACCACGTCGGTCTATAATAATATCAGATAGGAGATTGCCACCTGGTTGGGAAAAACATTTTACGCAAAGGAAAGCTGGCACATCAGCAGGAAAATGGGACGTGCTGTTTATACAGTAAGATACAAGATATAATAATATTTTATTTTAAATTATGATTAAACAATATACAATTTACTCATAGTTATGTTTTTGTCTTAAAGCAAGCAGACTGGGAAGAAATTCAGATCCAGAAATGATATCAGAGTATTCATGGAACACCAAGGACAGTTAGATTTCGATCCCGAAAAATTTGATTTCTGCATACATCGTAAGAAACGGAATAACGCGCATCGTGTTAAGCAGGAAGTTACACCAGAAGCACCGAAGAAGATCAAAACCTTATTGCCCAAAACAAAAGCATTATCCACACCTGAGAATACATTACTCACTGCGAGCACTCTTGATACTCCGCCTGCTGTTTCGACACCTACTACATCTGCTGCAGATGGTGGTAAGATTTTTGTATAATACTATATTTTAAGTCGTATATATACATACAGTATATTTTAACCCTTTTAACATATCTTTTATATTCCATTAATTCATCAGAGATGAACTATTGTAAGTACTTAAAGATATATTTTTATGTAATCAAGTAAAGTTCAAGATTTATTTCTTAATGTAAAGTTTTTTCATCCATTACATTTCTTAATATAAATAAAATTATTGGTTTAATGTTATTGTATAGAGTAATATATAGACAAGAGCACCTCTTACAAATATCTTATAACATTTACTTTTTGGAACAGCCGTTTTCATTGGTGGACTTCGTGTGGAAATGGAAGATAGTGCTTATAAGTGTCCTAAGGAAGGATGCAATAAGAATTTTCGAAAGGAAAATTTATTGCAAATGCATATTAAGCATTATCATCCAGAATATTCCAAATTTTTGGGATCTACTCCAAAAGTCGAAGATCTGGCTTATGCAAGAACGATTGGAGAATCTATAGAAGACATTATCCCAAAGAAGTCAACGCCATTTTTAGAGAAGATCAATAAACTTGGAAAGAAGAGATCTCTTTCGGATAAGTCATCGCCTAATTTATTACAACCAGTTTTGAACACCGTCCAACCCGCATCTCCTTCAATATCAGTTCCATTAGTACCGGAATTAGAAGAGGAAGTAAATCAATCGGAAAAATGCATTGACTTGCAGAAGGACGACGTAAAGATTGAAACAATGTCTCCTATATCCTGTCACAGCATGGAAGTAGACGACGATATTGAGAAGAAAAGAGAAAATGCTGGCGCCATGTCTCCTACTACATTATTTGATATGAAAGTTAAAGAAGAGAAAATGCAAGTTGGAATTAAAACGTTATTACCTGTAAGACCACCCACAACATTGGAGTCGCAGAAAATAGACCGAACGAAACCTGTGGACGAGATAATGCACGCTGAACGTACAAAAGGTTCGAAGAAGAAGCAATCCGAATATAGCATGCACTTATCGGCTAAAGGAAAGAAACGACATGGTATCTTTCATACTTATTAACAAACTAACATTTAATCTTAAAGTGTTTAAAAATTTCGAAGAGATATTGTCAAAACAAAAGTCCTGACTTTTTTTAAATGTGACTTCTCTACAGTTTTATTAATTTATAAATGAATTAATTAAGTGCAATATATTGCATCTTGTTGCATAGGCATGTCAGATGTCATAGACAGCTTCGGCGACTTAGATGATAGCGCTATGGATATTGAGGGACCGACAGCACTCATGTACAGATTTAGTCGTAGAAAATCTGACTCTAAAAGCGATGAGAATAGTCAAAATAGTAAGTGCAAGTGATTACGTCGTACACTTGTACGATGATACATTCTTCGTATTTTTATTTTGGTTTAGATCTATTTTTTTTAATTCGATACAGTTTGGTAAATGAGTTTTTCTTTAAGTAATATGTTTTACACATAAAATATTTAGTATATCTTATACTTTATTATATTATATAATATGTTGTATTATTTCTGTTTTTGTTCTTCAGGTCAACTAAATGATTCTCATATTGAAAAAGGCGATCCCTTAAAAGGGGATACTAGCAAAACTGATATTAATAATGATGCAGAAGGTACATGGTTGATTTTTTTTATCTTTTATTGACTTTGCTTCTTAATTTCATATGTGGATGATACTTATTTTTCTTATTTTTATATTTTACTTCATATATTTACGGGAAGTACACATCTAGTTAACGAATATCCATAATCATGATCTCAGTAATATGTACTTCAATGAAATTTGCATAAATCTTTGTTTATATGGATCTTAATCACTTATTATCGCAGAGAGCGAAGGAGTGATGATGATGATCAATGGTGAAATGGTAAAAGTGGAACAACTTCGAAGAGAAGAAATAATAAATTGCACTTGTGGTTTTATGGAGGAGGACGGTCTGATGATACAGTGCGATCTTTGTCTTTGCTGGCAACACGGTCATTGTAATGCAATTGAAAAAGAGAAAGATGTTCCTGAAAAATATATTTGTTATATATGTCAACATCCATATCGGCAGAGGCCATCTAAAAAGTACTTTCACGATCAGGACTGGATCAAGGAAGGGAAATTGCCAATGTAATTTATTAATTAAAAAAAGAAACATACTTTGCATAATCTATACTGTATATAATTAAATAATCAGCAATTTATTGAGAGAATATACGATTGTAATATGCTTAATTATGCCGATTATTGAACTTTTGTAGCTTACCTAATCGCACTCGAGATCAGTATATGATAAACCAAAGGACTGCGATGTTGAAACGATCTTATGACTTGGTCAGTGCACTTTTGCAAATTCAACAAATTCTTCATAGTCTACGTGTGAAGATCAATGTAGCTCAGTAAGTAGTACATACTTACTCAATTCGAAGAAGCATGCATTTATATGGTGGTGAATAACTTTCAAATGTATATACAGGCAGAAAGATCATCCCAAACTGTATCTTTGGGCTAAAAATTGGGACAAAACCAATGTACCAAAAGTAGACATTGAACCAATACCAATAATGGAAATAACAAAATCAGGTGCGGATTCTGTCGACATGGGTTCTGAAAGTTTGCGACGTATTGAGCCAAAGATAGAAAATAAATTGTCTTTGAAAGACGATCAAGATGAAAAATCGATCGCCTCGGATTCGGAATTGATGAAAATACTGGAAGAAGACAGCACGCATTCCGACGAGCCCAGAGTTACTGGTAAGAGAGAAGGTTTAGTCAATTCAAAAGATAGTCATATACTTTTGGATGCGTTGACAAATAGCAATTCCGACGTGAAACAAAGAACTGATCCAGATATTAAAACGGAGAATATAGGTACGTTGAAACGGATCTAGTCTATAATTTTAATCTCTAATTTTAGTCTATAATTTTAAAAGATTCTAGGATGTATCTTCTAAATTCTAAAAAAAAATATATATATTCATAGAGTTTTTCGATACTACGTTTCTGTCTTAATTATGCAGGTTTGCTAACTGAGAAAAGCATGATCGACAACTCTATATCCGAAAATCTGAGTTCAAGCTCGTTCATCAATAATGATCCACGACAAGTTAATATGGTTAATATCGAGAACGAAGTTGCCGCACCTTTACAACCTTTCATACCGGAACCCGAAGCGCCAATCGATCCAGCCGAGTGTCGAATGAGATTACTGGAACATATTGAGCATTTTGAGAATCACATCGAATCAAGATTGTCGTCTATAGACGCGCAAGTTTGCGGTAATACTATTAGAAAGACGTTTAGTAGATTTCGATAGAGATATATGTCTAGAGTTTATTCATAGATATTTATTATATATTCTTTTCCATGTTAGCTCTGGAGGCTATGGATGTGGAAGAACTTGTTCCGAGTCTACATGATCAGTCGCGTCTGAAGCAAACTGTGCAAATGCTGTTGCGTGACTTAAATACAGTTCGGAAGTTGGCTGCGTTATGTTGAATAAATCATTAAACGTGATACACCCGACATGTATATAAAAAGATATAAGTATATTTATATAATTAATATAATATATATTATGTAATATACATATAAAAAAGTAAAAAGTAAATTGGCTCTCCACTTGGACGATGGTTATTAATGAGCCTGGTGCAATCAGCGATCGCTTATAGGCGTTTCGATTGTAATTTCTAATAGTTTATAATGTTATTGTCAAAGCGTTTAATTTAATTTTAATTAGTCTCAAAATTATATTCTAGTGACCAAATCTTGATCACTGTCGAGATTTCATGACATAAAACTAGTTTTATAATCTTTCTTTTATTGAATTGTATTACTGTACATGTACAAATTTACACGAAATTATTTTAATTCATTTTTTTTTTTAATTAATGTTTGTAATTCGCACGAATATGTTATTAAATAAAGCGATCTATAGAGAACGACTCATTACAGAAATAAAAATCTAACGCAGTGTTTCGGGAGAAAATGTGTTCATGTCGAATTTACCGACCGTTGACCGTTGTTATCTACTTGTGGCAGGTAATGCAGTGAATGACAGACTCGCGAGATGTCGCAAACGAGGCGGCCGACACTGGGCGCCGCAGTGTGCCGTCGCCATTTTGGTTTAGCCCAACAGCGGATGACGTCAGATGATGGTGTGTAATCGCGCGACGCACGAACACAAAGGGGGGCAGACGGACGAAGACAACAGTGGACGGAGGAGTGTCGTGCTCGAGGTACGCGAGCTTGAGAAAGAGTGGGAGGGAGCGAGGGGAATAGAGTAGTTTAGAGTGTATCAAAGTAGCGATAGAGAGGGAGCGATAGAGGGAAAGAAAGGGGAAGGCATGCGCGATCCGTGGCCGTGGTAGTGGTGCACAGTGCGGTGCAGTCTCGTCGACGGCCAGAGAGACAGGACAGAATACGTCGTGGCGTGTGGGCTCGGCTCGGCTCAGCTCGGCTTGTCTCGACTCGGCTCGCGATTCCTTCCCGCATCCGTTATGACGGTACAGTGATCCAGCGCTAGGCGCTGCACGTCCGGGCATCGTCTCCCTTCTCGGCGAGGAGAGAGAAAGAGAGAGAGAGAGGGTAAGAGAGAGAGAAAGAGACAGAAAGGGAGAACACGACGCGCTATCTCGCGCAACTCGGCGCACCCTTCTCGCGTTCGCGTGGAAAAAGCCGTAGAGGTAACGCGACGGCGATGGAGGCGCGACGCAGTCCGCGAGTTTGACCGCTAGACGGCCCTCCTCCGGCATACTCGAGGATCTCCCTCGGCTCGCCGCTGGACACGGACTCTCCCAGTAGGTGTGCTCGCGCGCGGCCATGTGCCGCGCCGTCACCGCGCCCGCTCCGCGTGTGTTTCCTCCCTGCGGATCGTCGCCGTCGTCGTCGACGTCGCGGTCGGTTGAGTGTTTTGTTGCGTAGTCAGTCAGTCAATCGGTCGGTTGGTCGGTCTCACGACTGATTGGTGCTCTTCGTTTCGGATGCCTCGTCGGTGTGTTGGTGCGACGAGTGAACAACAAGGAGCCCACGACTGTTCCCCTTTCTCCGCCCTTGTATTTTTGCGTGGCTCATATTAGCGAGCTGTGTGGAAGATATCGCGAGGAAGAAGGGAGATAGATATATAGAGAGAAAGACAGAGCGAGCGAGAGAGAAAAAGAAAAGGAGGTGGCAGTTGAAGGAAAAAGAGAGCAAGAACGAGCAAGCGAGGGTCGCTAGACGGCATACTCGGTCGTCGCGGAGTTCGGTGTCGGTGCTCTCCGCGAGCTCTCCGATCAGCGGACGGGAGAGCGAGCGAGGCAGGCGTAGGTAGAAAGAGAGAGTGACAGAGAGGACAAGACAACTCGAGAGGGAGCGCGAGTGGCGTATCAAGATGGCGCATAATTTGGCACCGAGCGTCAACTGCTCGCTCGACGACATTGACCTGAACGCTCTGAAGGTATGTAAATACACTCGAATTACACGCATCTGCGAACACGCCTCACGAGCGGAAGCGACCGCGCGTCGTCGCTGCGCTGCGCTGCGTTGCGCTGCGCGGCGCGTCGACCCGGCCGCGCCGGCTCTCGTCTGGACCCGCCTGGACCCGCCTGCGTTGGCTGTCACGCGCGTCTTATTATGCGTGGTGATTAACCTCGCGAGAACCGACGATTACGACGGCGGGAAAGAAAGAGAGAAGACGCGTTCTCCTTAGGTCTTCTCTTTCTTCCCTTCTTGCGTCGTAATGTCGCGCGATCCGTTCGCGCACGCGACGTACGCAAAAAATCGGTCCGCTGTCTCTCACGCTCCATACACATCGGTTTCCACATAGTATTTGTGCATTACATCCCGTCTCACTTGTGTGTGTCGGCCGGACATTATGGCATTTTGTGAAAGAACAACGAAAATCGGTGAGTCGTGTGTCACGAGGTCGCCTTGTGAATGTGAAGAGCCATTCATGCACGCTCGTCGCAGCATTCATACATAGCTTCATTCGGGCCTGTTCAGCGCGGACCGTTTCGCCTTCGTGTGACACATTTTTCTCATGACAATTAGTCGGATGTGTGTGTACGGTGTTCGCGCGGGATCCGACGAAACGGGACAGGAGAAGTACGGTCGCGAAAAAGTTCCGCGTGTGAGAAACACAAACAAGAACGTTGTTGACAGTTTTCAATGAGGTATCGACGGACTTGACGCATGACGAGGTCACTTTGAATATTTCCTTAGTCATAGTCGAACGTGGTGGATGCATCTGTTCTTCTTGCTTTATCGTCGCGGATATGTGAGAATAATACGGCCGAGAGGCGAGAGAGAGGTTCGGTCCTCATTCACTTTATCTTCGGATTATTGCAGTTTCATGAAAAGAATTGCGCAGTCGGGCGAAACAATCGAAGCTTGAATTGTCGAAAGGGAAAAAGTCGAGTGATCGGCCATATTTAAGGGATAGGCAACTTCGAATTGCGTGCCAGCAACGAATATAGCCGTTTCTTTCGATATTTACCGACTCGCTGTACGCCAGTATCGCGCTCCATTTCTTTCGATTTTTCTATCTACGATCAACTTCACACACTAGTTCATTTGTAAAATGGCCGACCGCGAAATTTCGATGTCGTTGTTTCGAATTTGTCGTCAAGGTGCAACCACTTATACTTTGCTCTGCTTGCTATCTTTGTTTACGAGAAAGATCTCGGAGTGATTATGTTTACTCGACGGAGAAAGTGCGTTAAAATCGCATGGGCGAGTCGAGTTGTTGCGAGGTAAGCGGCGGGATTTCATCGTCGCGACGAAGAGAAAAAATCGCGAAAAAATCAGATTTATGTAATTATAAAATCGTGTACAATACAGCGAGAGAAACAAATATAAGAAATAAAAAATATTTAGTGAGTACAGATAAAATGTTCATTTATACATTGATGCAAAATTCTTCAAATAAGAAAATTTATATTTTCTTGATACTTAACCTTTTCATGAAAACAATTGTCTATTCTACTTAAATAAAAAAACCTAGATTTAAATACGTTATCAGCACCCATAGAAAAAAAATATATTTTTTTTAATATTTTCACTTATGCATTGATGTAAAATATTTTTCAAATTAGAAAATTTAATTTTTTAATACCTTAACTTTTTCTATGAAAGCAATTGTTTATTCTGCTTAAAGAGGATCTAAATTGAAGCAAATGCGTTAATAGTACTCACCGAATAAGTATTTCTTATTTTTTAGATTTTTTTCTCTCAATGTACAAGTAATATAAGGGAAAACGTCCAAATAGCCGGTGTTTTGCATAGATTTTATCAAACATTGAGATGTATATTTAATATATATTTTAAATATGTGTTTTAAATATAAGCGGATCTATTATCGTATTAATTATTTATATTTTAATGTCCGTACACCGCAACATTTGTTAAGATCCGCGCAAGAGTGCCGTCACGTTCGCCGCGATATTCTCTCGCGTTACACGCCTCTAACTGCATTGTGTTGGTTTCAGGAACCCGCTGGAATCTTCGAGCTGATAGAAGTGGTCGGCAATGGAACATACGGCCAAGTTTACAAGGCGAGTATCCTAAGAATTCCTCCATTCTCGCTCAGGGCTGACGCGGCTGCATCTTCTCGCATAATTATTATCCGTCGCGACGCCGCGCGAGAATAACTGCGTCCGGATATTTGGTATTCGCTGCTTATACGCTTATCCACACGTGTGTGCGCTCATGCATACGCGTTTTGTCAATTATCGATCTCACGGTGGCGTGAGACGACCTTTACTGTGGTATTTTAAATTAACGCGTAGGCACGAGGACGCCTTGGTGAAATAACACTGCATCAGGCGTTGGGAATGACGAAGTGACAAAACAAAAAAAGAACGACATGAAAGGGAAAAAGTTGTTGACAATATTTTGCCGATATCGGCGGGAGAGGAAAAAATACCGCGTTTGCGAGACACTCCCACGTGTATCGAGAACGTTATTTCAATTAACGGCTAGGCACCGCAGGACAACGGAGCGCGACAAAAAGATTACGATTAACGAGTCGGGCGTCAGGATGACGGAGTGGAAAACGAGCCGGGTGATACGCGGACTTGATCCCCGCGAAACGGCATTGCGTGTCGCGAGATTTCCATGTATATACACGTGAAGAATATCGTAGTAAAAATTACACACAATCAGAAGTGTCGTTCCATTGCTGAGAAAAGCGATTATTCAGTTTACTTTCTTTCATAGTAACAATTATTTTCACCTAAGAGTATTTTCTTGACAACAGTTACAAAATATATTTGTCACGAGTTTGCGAGAAAACTCACTCGCATTAACTCAAAAGAAGAATCGATCTTTGCAAGAATACTCGGAAACTTTATAGAGGAAAAGCTCGGTTCAACTCTATGTAGTGAGCAAACTGAATTTTTGTTTTAATTTTATATTCTCGATTGAAATGCTAAACTTACTAGGATTCAGAATATATTTTGAGTAAATTTAACTTATGATGAACTTATGATGGGTTTGTGAGTATACAAGCTTATAAAATGCTTGAAACAAGTAATGCTTACTTGAGAAAAGAAATATCTAAATATGCATGTTGAGAAAAGAAATATCTAAGAATTGATAAATATTTGGTGTATACTAAGAACATATTTACTTAAATCTAAATTGTTTTACTTATGTAGAATAAATAATTACTTTTATGAAAAACTAAGGTTTTCTTACACTTAAAAAAAGTGTTTGGCATTTGTAACTATAATTGTGCACACGGAGAAAATTATGATTGTTACATCCATGTATTCTATGATTAAGGAGAAAACTTGCGCGATTTCAAGTTAAATAGATATGGAATTAAAAGTTGTTCTTACATGCTGCTACACCTATGCAGTTCTTACAGTCACAGCTCTTATGATATGTTGTGATGTTCAATTAGTACATCCTCAGATATATAGTTGTTTCAAATTGAAGAAACATCGCGGTTTCTCTGTTGTGGTGGTTTGTAGAACAAATACTATGGTTGAGAAATACGTAGGGTTTGGTTACGCCATACATCACTGAGAATACTGCTCAAACACGTATGGTCAGGCAGCAAAGAAGGCCAGTGTACCACTTTCAGAATACTATGGTCGCTACAACCATCTCTTGTGTGCATGGGCGAAAAATAACATAATATTTCGTTGTGGCGATTATATTTAGACAAGTGATATTCTTAGTATTTTCTCCGTGCACGGTAAAAAATCTATAGTCAAAAGAACTATTTTTGTAGTAAATGTTACTATAGTGTTAATAATAATAATAATTTTGTATGCATGTTGCTACTATTACTTTTTTGTTGAATTAACAAAAAATATAGAACCGAAAATAATGATAATTTTAATGACACTAACCAATTTTTTCTCTCAATGTGTGTGTAGAGTTTTAACAAAATATATATTTTCTTAAAACCTTATTTTTCTTTCTTATTTAAAATATTTTATATTAGTATATGCAAATATGCCGTGTATATTTGTGTCCTCCAAACAATTACTTACAATTTTTTTTTTTAGATATTTCTTCTCTCAGTGCAGTGTGCATTTTTCTGTGTGTATCACAGAATTTTTATAATTTTGGATTACATAGAATTGTGACGGAAATAACGATACCATTCAAAAATATTGCGCGCGTTTTTACTACAAAATTATTGTGGTTACTTGAAAAATTTTCTTATATATACATACACAGAAAAAAGGCTTAGCTGCGACAACAGGAATCTGTGTGCGGTAGCTAAATTTCGTTGTAACATATGATATCTAAGTGCAGCTGCCAGTAGATAGTATAGTTAGCTGTGAAACCGACGAGGTGGCAACGGTAGTAAAAATTTTAGTTAGAGCAGCAAATTTTTAGTTATAGCAACAAATTTATATATTGAGAAAAAAGCAGTTAGGTCGACAAAATCGACGGTTACCCTTCCGAGAAATATTGTATTTTTTAAACAAATTACGCGTTCGTACAACAAATTACGTTGATATATTTATCGATCAAATGCAATTATTGAATCAATTGATAACTCTCATCACAGCAACTACAATATAATTCGTCTAAACGTTTGCTTGAATGAATCTTGTTGTTTTAATCCAACTACTTTTTTCCCAGTATATATTTTTAGCAAATCACGATTAGTGCTATTTTGTTTTTTCGTGCATATCAGGCAGATTGTCAAATTTAGTGGTTTAAACATTGCAGAAATGTATACAATTTTAACGTGATTTTCACTACATTTTTTCCGCACATACCATACGTTATCGTTATCTTCTGCGTGTGCTTCGCATCGAGGCTCAAAATCGTCGTTCTGACATATTCTCAGATAAGCGAGCGTATATTTGCCGATGTTTTTCACGTTAATATCGAAAGAATGACTAATGTCACTATTACAATCATTCATGAGAAACTTGACCAATTTTTTCTCTCAATGTGTGTGTAGAGTTTTAAGAAAATATATATTTTCTTAAAACCTTATTTTTCTTTCTTATTTAAAATATTTTATATTAGTATATGCAAATATGCCGTGTATATTTGTGTCCTCCGAACAATTACTTACAATTTTTTTTTTTAGATATTTCTTCTCTCAGTGCAGTGTGCATTTTTCTGTGTGTATCACAGAATTTTTATAATTTTGGATTACATAGAATTGTGACGGAAATAACGATACCATTCAAAAATATTGCGCGCGTTTTTACTACAAAATTATTGTGGTTACTTGAAAAATTTTCTTATATATACATACACAGAAAAAAGGCTTAGCTGCGACAACAGGAATCTGTGTGCGGTAGCTAAACTTTCATCATTCTTGAGAAACTTCTCTACAGATAGCGCGCTCAGTTTTCGTATACGTGTACGTGAGTGACTCGCGTACTTCCCGCTGGTAATCTGTAATTTTTATCTGTCAGGACCTAAGACGATACACCGTGCGTCGTGTATGTTTTCTGTTTGGGTTTGCGCGCGTTATCGCGGGATATCCCCCATATCTATTCCGTTCTCCATCGTTTCCCTATCTCGGCACAGAAGTCTAAGCGGAGACTCTCTAGTCAAAATCCCGACATCACCGACTCCTTCCCTAATTTTTTCACTAAATTAATCGAAAATGGCGTCTACTTACTATATCCAGATAACTTCCACAAGAAACCTTTATCAGTGTAATGTGTGATATTACATAAAACGTAATAAACATTACTACTTGTTGCGTACGAAATTGTAAAGATAAAAGCAACAAAGAATTTTATATGGAAAATATGCTAACAAATCCTGAGAAGCGAGGATTGATATCATGGATTGATATCATTACATATCATTACGAAAGTCGAAAGTATTTAGCAGTAAGAGCCTGGCAATGCATGCTACATCTAATAACTATTTCCCGTCTTTCAAAATGTTTATTAACAAAATATTGTTACGTGCAATTACAGTTGTGTGTAATTTCTGTTTCAAGTAAAGATGTGTTCAAATAGAGTTTCCTTATTTGAATAAATCTGCATTCCGCCATTTTCGATCACAGAAACTAGACCGACCAAATAGCAGGACCAAGATGTCAGGACTCTAATTAGAGAGTCTATAAACCCGTGGCTCGCGCACCGCGTTACGCACGTGGGAAACTTTCGCGTTTAAGGTGATACAAGACTCGTAGCGTTGCATTCTCGCGCTCGTTTCTTCGCGTGCCGGCGCAGGTGGCGGCTCCTTGCGTTAACGCGTCCGGATAAAGCGTTTTCTTACCGTCGCGTGAAGAAAAGAAAAGAAAAGAAAAAAAAGGAGGATAATGATTTCTCCTTTGTATCTCGGCGCGCTGAACCGGCCTCGCGATTGAATCGGCGGCGCGCGAGCCGAGAAGCGGCGCGAGTGACTCACATAAGAGGAATGCTGCGGGGAAAGAAAAAGAGAGGAAGGAAAAAAATATCACCTTTCTCCGTTTGATCGCGAGTCTCGTTTCTGCATCCGTTGTCAGTGCGAATATGTCGCGCTGCGTATCGAAATCTCGAGACGATCGATGATGATACGCACCGTCGCCGCGCTCCTTTGTAACACCAGCCACAGAGACCCCTGAATCGCAAGACTCGTCTGCACAATACGCGGAATGAGCTTTTGGCATGAATTGCAGTGAGAAACAATCATTTATTTCGCTTACGCCTATACTCCAACTCCTTCATCGGGGGATATTTCTCCTACTTAATACTCTACCCAAGAGTATAGCGGGAAATATGCGAGTACATCTTACTTAAGAGAAATACGTCTTATTTGAGAGAAATACGTCTTGAGAGAAACATTTTAAGAGAAATATTCCCGAGTATGGAGTATATTCCGAGTATGGAGTACAAAAGAATTGGAGTATAGGTGTAAGCGAAATAAATTATTTTTATTTCTTACTCCAACTTATGCGAAGCTTACTTCGCGTACCGTAGATGAGTCAAGAGACTGGCCATGAGGTTGATAGGTCTGCTATGTTTTATCAACTTATGTCCAAGTTACAATGATCTCATGAACTTTATATTTCTTCAAGAAAATGGAGTAATTTTCTTTTTATTTATATAAAAGATTAAAGTAATGTGTACCC